CTTAAAGATTCGGAAATCCACTTTTCCCGTGACGACGTCGGTTGTTGAACTTAAAACTTCTTTCGCAGCAGTGTGACGCACATTATGCGCAGCTGGTGTCATTAATGTAAGCCTGAGTAATAAAGGGTATTGAGGATAAAAATATTATAATGGCAAGGCCATGTTATTTTATGAAATTTTAAGGTTATATTCAAAACGCTCTTAAATCAAAACGGAATTTTTATTGCAAATTTATTTAATAAATTGTTAGAACTCTTGATTGTAAATTTATATTTAACAAATTAAATTATAAATTAATAATTTTATAAATTATTGAAAAATAGTTTTTTGCAATTTTACATTATGACATTATTTCCTCAGTGATATTTTTGTTGGACAATTTTCATAGATTATCAAGTTAAGACGTTAGTTACCGAAAGTGGTTATTGAGAAGTTAGACGTTTATCACGAATATATAATCATCTCCGACTTCTGATTGTGCGTTGCGAAACTCAGCCTCGAACTTGCCCGGGCTTGTCACGTCAGCGGGAAGGAATTATGCAGGCATCTGTAATATATATAATCCTCGTCGTCTCGGATAATAACGAAATAACGAACACGAGAGACCGAAGAGTAAAGAGATGCGACGCCCACGCGAGCGGTATCGTGCTGGCAAAGTTGACGAGGTGTAATTGACTGATTCAGGAGTAATTGGGCGCACCTATGCCTGAAGATCCGCACAATCCGAAACCGTGCGGGATTACGCCACTTCTCCAGTTCGCAATTTGTCGACACTGCATAATAACGTTGCGTAACGCGTCTACAATGTTCGTCGAGCGATTGTATCTTTGGATATATGGTTGGGAAGAATGGATGCCTGAGAGGCGGCGACGTGAGCCTAATTGCGCGGTTAAGCGAAGTGATTACGGCGGCGAAACGACTACGATGAATTTATTATGGCAAATTCGGGAAGGATGGTGAGAGCAAACATATGTGGCCTACTTTAATTTGAGAATGAAAAGGTTATAAACCTTCCACAAGTTTAAGAAATTATTTTGACAAGGTTATTGTTTCGCTAATAGTTCTATCCTTTTATTATTAATTAATGGAATAAACGTCAATGACGCACACCTCGTTTAGCGATCGAACGTTACACTTTAATTATTAATGAATTACGTCACGTAAGGTTGTTGCTGCGATAGATATCGAACAGAGAGAAGTCCGTTTAGTAGCGAAACAATTATACGTTTAATAATTCGCATTGTAGGAAGTCAAAAACCCTCGTGGGAAAAAAGACGCAAAAAAGAAGGAAGCACCAACATCGTCTCAGTTCAAGGCCAATCTTGCTTGGTCAACGAAGTTAAAATATATACATCCCGGAAGATCAAATAATTAGGGACAATAGCTAATCGGATGTGGGCAGTCAAGTGTTTTGTTTGAGATAGAGTTTGTTGAATTGAGAGCAATGGAGGAATTCTTTTTTTTACGCCGTTTACATCACTTTCACAATTACAAACCGCGAGGAAAAATTTTCAGTGTTAAAATTATCAATTTTGTCATCTTATATTGCTACTTATTATATTTGTATGGGAATTTTTTTCATATAGCAGTAATAATGTGTATTAATGACTTACACAAAAAAGCATTAATAATTTGCGAATAAAAATTGATGGTATAACGCGATTCATACAATGAATTGAAGATAACGCTAAGAAAATATATAATGATATCGCTAATGGTGCTATTTTCCATAATAGAATATCTAGGAAATTTACATACCATTTTGCGTCTGTTAAGATAAATTTTATTTGCAATTTAACGTAATTTGGTTTCCCTTTTTTATCTCGAATATTTCGAACGTCTGTTTTCCTCGGGAATTTTCTTCTTAATCAGACATTGGATTTAAGTTTTCTAACGAGATAAATGTCGCTAAACGTGTATACGCAGATATTTTAATAAATAATCAGTGAAGACACGACGCTAGATAGTCCGTGTTCCAACTACCTTTTAAATTTATATTTAGCTTTTAAAAAATTGTTACTGTTTGCGCGCTTATGAATTTAATGTGGTCGTGCTTCTTTCATGTTAATTAATAGATAATACGCGCAGGATAGTTTGTTGCAAAATTAAAAGTTTATCATAATTTTGTGGTAATTAAAATTGTTTTAATAAAAAAATATACGTTCCGCAAACGTAGTTTTTCATTATTCTTTGATATAGAGGCAATTTTTTTTAGCAAAAATATTTAGCAAAAATAATGAAGAATATCATTTATCGTATTTTTACTTTAACGATATTTGTACGATACGCTCAAAGATACATTCATACATTCTTGTTTCACATATTCTCGCAACATGCGGACAATATGTCACGAATGCAAATGTTATATTCAAGAAACGTCGCACAAAATGATATTCACTCTTATTCAACTCATTTTATATATTTATTCTGTTAGCAAATTATTTCCATGTTTTTTTGCATGTAATAAAAGTTATTTTCAATGTATAAATTTGCATTTTTTAACAATTGCATTTGTACGCGAAGTTTTAATATTTTTCATGGAAAAAATTGTAATATATGGGATATATATGCTCTTGCTACTAAATAATAAACATTAAATTAATCAAAATAGCGATTTTCTCAATAATTCATTATGAGCATTAATAATTTTTAATGACAGAAACCTTTCTTGAATATTAGAAACTAAAAAATTTTTGTGATTTTACATACGTAATTTTACATACATACTGTATATTGTTTGCTTAATTTGATCGTTTAATTGATCAAATCCAGCTCGGGCTTAATAGCTTTCTTTTTCCTTTCATTTTTGTAATTTATTGATTAATAAGAAAGCTCTATTTTGGTAATCTTTGTTTTTGTAGTTTTTAGTTGAATTTCAAACAAAGTTTAACTTAAAGCTTAATTGTCAAGTTGCTTGATGTTAAAACTTACAAAATCGCGACTGTATATTTAATAAAGGTCATTCGTGGGACATATATAGCCTACGTATCTATGAAATTTTAATTCAGTTTTATCATATGTGTCAGTGTGTCAGCCGAAAGGTTAAAGCAAAAGAGTAGGAATCTATTAATTGTGCGAATAGAAGAAAATGTAACCAAATTTTCGCGCAATTTAACACATTTTGGCGCAAGTGCACGAGAACGCAATTCCTCTTGACAAAAATTGTGTTCGTGAGAAAGAACGGTAATGTACATTTTCTAATGACGTTATCAGCTAAAAGCCACGTGAGCTTTAATCAGTTAACCGTGTGTCGCTCATTACCAAGGTAAATTCGTAACTGCGCAAAACAATAAAAACACAGCGAGGTAACAATTTCTATATAAATTCTGTGATAATAAAATAGTATATGATGTAAAATGCAGTATATCTGAAAAAGAATGTACAATCGAACTTATTTTTATTAAATTTATTTTAATTAATCTAAAAAAGAAATTACTCGACAGGTAAAAATGTAATATGCAACAACAACAGTAAGTCGTCCGTAACAGTCGCTATCGTTGTCGATAATAGCCTGGCATCTGCGTAACGTGCTGTCTACTATACGTATAATACAGAGATGCTATTATATGACAACGACTGCACGACTTACTGATGTTGCGTGTTACATTTTTATCTATAGTATATGTGTAATTTTTTTTTTTAATTTATCGAAATATATTTAATAAAAAATAGCAATTACACGTTCCTTTTAGATATTCAATATGAAAACAGTAACGTTTGCTTTATGATTTGAACTCTTTAACGATTCAATTTACGTATATTTTGTACTTAGTAATGAATACGTTACATATATGTTGCTGCGTGTCAACAATTTTTCTTTCTACAAAAAAGTCTTTAATGTAACATTTTGCTGCAATTGCCGAGAGTAAAGAGCACTTTACGCGGAATCATTCTACGAAATCACTTAGCTTTCCGTTTTATCTTTTGTACTTTACCCTTATGATTATGCCTTGTCAATGTAGAAAGGGGGCCAAATGTAGAATTCAAAGTGAAGAGCAGAGTGTCTCTTCGCGGAACTGTGAAGTAGATCATGACTCTAAGTCTACGGCGTAAGAAGTTCTATACACTTGTCCTGGTTCGAACATATTTATGTTTGATATCTCTGTTGCCGTGGCAGTAATTCGATTGTGATAAGACGAACGTGCTTAGAACAATAAGATTAGAAAGCGTGACATGCAAGTTGAGGAATGTGCGTTACCGGCACGTATTTGCACAGGAAGAATTATTAGCTACAATCAAGTGGATGACGCGAGGTCCGCGTTTAGAACTGCACGGTTGCACCAATGTCGATAACAATGTGATAATACGATGTTTCTCGTACATATTAATGTCGATTTGACGCACTAATTGTATCCGAAATAGGTGGCGATAATTTTGATACGCGTTTAATAAATGAAATCGGAAAAGAGAAGGAAAACATAGAAGTTTCACATAAATATTTATTCTGGAAGCTGTCTCTCACGCTACGTACTTTCCAGGAAGGAAGAGGAAAACTCTTATTTCGAGCACGTGTTGTGAGAGAAAGAATCTTATTTGGAACTTCTGTTTACATCGGTACTGCACGAGAGTTCAAATGACATATAATTGACAAAGAGAAACGAAGTTAACTATATTAGAACAAGTGTTTACACTGCAATCTGACATTAGCACGTGAAGATTCATTGAAATACAATTGAAAATATACGAGTTCCTTTGAGATTCGCGTTGCAATTTTTTTTTTACATTAACACAAAACTCTGACTCTACTCGTGCAATTTAACTCAACTTCGCGTTGTTAATATTAAAAGCGTAGAAAGGGACAGCTAACCGGAATTGGTCAATCAGAGTCACTTGAATAAAGACCGCGGCGCTGTTGGTGCAACAGATCCGTAAACAAACGCGACTCTCGCGATCTACGCGTCATGCACACGTGGATATTCCCCCCTCCCCCCCTTCTTAGTCCATGCGAAAGCATGATCGAGGAAGCGGCGCGACACATGCAAGCAGGCTCTTTTACTTACTCGCTATGACAGGCGAGAGTAATAGTTTCCTACAGGAACTTTTTTCTTTTTTCCTTTCCTCTCTCTCTCTCTCTCTCTCGTCTAATTGCGCCGTGAGATTCCTTTCGGAGAGAGGATGCGCTTCGCCGAGAACACCGATGTGTTGAGAATGCTCGACGGAATCGGTCGATTTCCCTTTTTTCTCACGATCGAAAGCGCGACGCGCCGATAAAAGTGCGAGTTAATCGAGATACGCGCTGCTCGCTGTCGTGGGATTGTTTGGGACGAGTGTTTTCGCGGCATCGTACCCGACCCGAGGGTTCCCTACGTACGCATGATCACCAGTCTCCCTCCCCTTTTTCCCTTTCCTTTGTCCCTTTGTAACGCTTTCTATGAGCTCGAGAGCGGAGCCGATGGAGATGGAAGTCGACGACGATCAACCGTCGCCACCCGCGTCGCTCGGTCGACTGACTGGCCTGGACTGCCTCCCCGTGGACTCCGGAGATTTTATTCCATCCCCACCAGTATCCTCGCCTGTCCTCCCCTTCCCAACGAACCCCTCGTCGACACCCACTCGCGCCGGAGTCGACGTGGGTGCTCGGGGGTGCGTGAACGTCGAGGGTGATCGCAAGTCTAGTCGTTGACCATGTAATTGACAGTTGACCGTATCACCCAAAGATCAATTAAAGGTCTGCCTCGTTATGACAAAAATAATTGTTTAAAACGGGCACTTTAGCTTAAGGTTATTAATGTATTATTGGCAACTAATCCCGTCATCCGGAACAAATTGAGAAGTTTTTTGCTAAAGCACAGTTATTTCGCGGTACAATGCTTTTGTCTTAAATTTATAATTATAGAATGTAACTTCAGGCTGCAGTTGGTTAAGATGAAATTATTTGCATGGTTATTTCGTGGTTTTGTATTTATAATCGAGCCTATTTTTGATAGAAGTAATTTTTGGTTTATTAACTGAATTTTTTTTATAGCTTTTTTAAAACAGTTGCTTCAGAAATGAACTAAAAAAAGCGCTTCTTAACTAGCTTTTATCGCGGAAAGTTTCGAGCATCAAACCCTTCAATTACTTAAATCAACTCTTTTATGTAACTAATGACCGTGTCCAATTTAAGTACTTCAAGTACTTACAAACTGATCCTCACTACCTACGAAGAGATGAGAGGACTTTCGAACTTTGTTCAAGGTTGAGACCCTCATAATGTGCCCGCATTTGAAGAGTCCCATCTTTATCGTGAAAATTTCTAAATACTTTCATTGACCAATAAAACGTTTTACTTAAAAATTTATTTACGGACAATTAATTTTTGTCTTTAACAGTTTCAATAATTTTATAATGTAACAATTTAGTTATTTTAATAATTTATATATGTTATCAATTTTATAACTGTTCTCACCAACAAACTTATTTCAACTGCGTGAAAAATTTGAAATTTATTTTTGGAATTACAAAAAAATATAAAGCTAAAAGTCTATAAAGTTAGGTCAAAATGCTGAAAGTAAAGTGCTGATTTTTCACATTAATTTTTCATGCTGTTGCTTACTTGCTGCGCAAAAAATTTTCTACGTCCACGAACTATTGGGCCACGTCTTCAAGTTTACGTTCAAGGTTGCGGAATAGCGGCGTATTACGTCAGAAGCATCGATTCGCGGGCGTTCGTTGACCCACCTAATTCCAAGCGATCGCGCTCACGTCACCGTCGCTTTCGTGAGCGGACAGTCGCTAATCCACCCACTTATGAATTGAAAAGCTTTGCTTAACACACACCTTTTCCTAAATCATTCGTGGCTATTATCAGTTGTGCCGAAAAAAAGTCGCCCTTGACGTTCCTTTAATGGTCGTCCTTCCGATTTAATCCCAATGTCGTAACTTCGACATGATTGACCGGCCGTAGACCGACCGTGGCCCGTTTATAGCCCACGTCGCGCATTCCACCTTCCTGGATACGATCTATCGATCGCCATTTCGGGTTCACTTAAAAGCTTGCGGTAGCGCGGGAATAGTAGGGCAGTCCGGCTCAATCGCGCCGCGCAGATTTTCCACCGCGACATTCTCTCTGTCATCGCTAATTAAAAAGTTCCGCGAGCCGCGCTAACGATTTGTCGTGTTTCTCGTCGCACTCGGTCTGGGAAAGTTTTGTTCGCGCGCGATACCGGTCGGTGCAGCTGCGCGTTTCCCGGCCTGTGTTTGCAATTGTGATAGTAGCGGCCATTGTAATAGTCGTACTTAATAATGACGGCTCGATTCGCCAGCAGTGTAGACATTACTTTTGTAACTGTTGGGAAACTCTGCAGTTTCCAATAATGGAAACGGCCAATCCAATAAAGCTAATCTCTCGCTTGATCTGAATTGTAATAAGATACAGTTATAGATATAGAAAGAAAGCCGTAATTTTGTTAACTTATTTGTTATTGATGTCTGCAGTTGGTATTCCATATTGTAGATTAAAAATACAAAAAGTGTTTATACGAATGCGCATTATTTTCAATCGCTGTAAGGCCGTTTGTTATTATTGATGACGATCGAAAACTTCCGACAGCCTTATTGACGTTACAACGCAAATTACTGTGCGATAAAAAACTCGTTTTAAATGAGTAATAATCTTTGTGCAAGGACTGCGCGTACAGAATAATCTACATATATGTAATCACTGCTTTAGATACAGTTCTTGCGAAGATCCTTGAATTATGTGTATTGTAAATTACTTACTAAGCATCTCTATATCCAACGTTGCCCCAATTACGATGTAATTACGAGCGACATAAATAAATTTTGAATGGCATCGCAAATACGACGTAAATACCAAGGCAGAATGCGACTAATTTACGTTGATATTATTAATATTATCGCACTATGCGCTGTTTCAGAATAATTTACTTTTAAGAGCACCAAGTTAACCAATTTGTTGTAAACATGTTATGCCGCACGAAATATTATTCTTCGATATTTGTACGCGAGCCTTAGACTGCATATCGTAATTTATAGTCACGTATTAACGAGTCAATAAAAGCGTGACACAGCAAATTGTTGATACGCGGAATTAATCTATAAACGACATACGCTGTTGCAAATTGCGTCGCCACACTCTCATCGATCACGTTTGCTTATACAGGTGTAGCTTGTACACAAGTAGGGGCGCAGTGCATTATTGCCAATTTATCAAGTGCTTCTCCTTCGTATCGACAGTACACAGATTTAATCTTAGTCGCGCGAACGACAAATATACGTAAGCATTGGCCGGATTAGAGACATTAAAAATTTCAATTCGATCGGAATAAAATGTTTCTCTCTTGCAATTTTCGAATTTTTACTTACGATTAATATTATATCGTGAAAGATGACATATATGAGATGCCTGAGGTCTTTAAGAATTTGTTAATTTTTGAAAGAATTAAGAATGAATTTGAATTATAAAGAGATACAGTTCGTAAATATAACAAAAAATTAAAAAATAGCATTATTATGTAATATAAGTTATTCTTGCGAGTCGGTTCAGTTTGCAGCAAGGAATCAATTCTTTATCGGTCACGTTACCAATTACCAAACATCTCATACGTGCATCATTTTCTCGCGCGATACCCGTGATACCCGAGATTACCGCACAAATCAGTCATCGGTTTTAATAAACCTCGCCTTCGGAGATATGGGCACGCGATCGCTCGTGTAACAGGCGATATTTCAGCAGTTCGAGTTACAGAACTACGTTAGGGCACGAAAAGTACACCGATCGTCAAGGGCCATCGACTACGGCGACGGGGTGCTCGAGATTCGAATCTCAATTTGGTAGAAATGAAATTCCTCGCGACTGAGCCTCGCTTCGTGAAACCCAACAAAGAACGATCGTGGCCGTTCTTTGAATTTGTGAGAGTGCGGGATATCTTATGTATTTCCAATAACACGTCCTCCTCCGCGAATTGCGCATTTTCCGCAATATATACGGCCAATAATTTATTTTTATCTCTTTTTTTCTTTTTTTCTCTCTCCTTACCGCGCCGTAGTACGTCTCGGGTAATTCCAAAGACGCATAGCTTATTAGATTTAAAGCGCTACCTGTCGAGTTGCATTATCGGAAAAGTTGCACTAAAAAATGCATTCACACACTGCGACGCATAATATGCGAAGAAAGGAGGAAATCGATTTTAATCTCGCGATATTTTGCATATTTGTTTAATTTTGTTTTATTACATAAACATGAGTGTACATGATAAATATATATAATGTGAATATAAATAATATAAATAATACAATTGCATAATACGATTATTAGGTGTGTAATAACTTATCTAATATTATCGATTGGTATTTCTCAAACTTAATTCATCGAAATAAAAAGAGCTATCGATTTCTTGAGATTAGCGAGACTATTTTTTTACCGTTGTTTTTCTGGTCTCGCAGTTGAAAGGAAAAAAACCGCGATATTTCTTGACTTGCTTAACAAGTCTGAAATTCTCAAGACAGTTTCTCAGTCGAAATTGTGCCACGTGCAAATTATAACTCACAATATGCGAGTGCAGTTCCTGCTCTTTTATTATTTACACGTATTTGAATAAACGATATTTATCCTACTTCCTCCTGTAAGGAGTCGGATAATCCGTGAGCAGGCTGCCGGTGGAGACGATAGCTCCAGGCCCGCCGAGAATGCCGCCCTTGTTGGCGAACCAGCCGTTGCCGTTAAGAAAACCGGCCGGTTCCAGTCTATTCGTGTAGAAATCAGAATCGGTCGGCCCCAGGAAGTGCACCAGACTGCCGGGTCCCAATTGCTTCGCCGTCGCGTTCGGCAAGTTTATTCCCAGATTGTTTAGCGCCTCCTTTAATAGCATTAGGCGGTTCTGCAGGAACGATTGCGACGAGAATTGGATTTTCTGCGTCAGCGGCGTCAGGAACCAAGATAGTGGGCCCGGTTTTGTCGTTGGGGTATCTTCGAACTAACCGAGAAAATTGAAAAATTTTGCTTTCTAATATTAGAATTTTTTAAATTAATGAAAATCTCTCTTTAGAAATTAAATCATTCAATATCATGGGTGATTGGAATATTGTGGGAACTCGATGGAGAATATAACTGCGAGTCGCAACTAGGACGATCAATACATTGACGAAAATGATATAATGAAATTTGCCGATATTTTGTTACAACTTATCGTATTTCAATGATTATGTATTAATAATATAATTATATAATCTCAATTACTGAACGCATTAATTGCTAAGCAGCAAATTGATTTTAGTTAATTAGTTGACGAACCGAATTAACGAATAATTTCTGCAAAGGGAATTGATAAATAGAGATATCGAATTATTGAAATGAAGCAGTCAATAATATCACATATTAAAATCAGAATTAATTAGCGTGATCACTACGAGACTACTGTTGTTGATAGGGTTTTAATTTAGATTCTGACTTTAATTATAAATTTTAGTCAGGGAGAGAACGCTTACGGGTTGTATAGTTGTGTCGATGGCGGTACCAGCTGCTGAGTTTGTTGTATCAGTTTGTGTGGTGGCCTTTATTATCACCTCGTTGGTCGGCAAGTCAGAGTTCCGTTGTTGTTCCTTTGATTCAAGTTGATTCTTTCGTAGAATCGGGTTACCATGATCAATCTCATTGATCGATTCATCGATTGACAGGTTCAGCGGTTTTGCTTGCGTTAATACAGCCTTCTGAAATTTTTATTTATTTATCGTTAATATATCTGAAGAGAGAATTAGCTAATTTATACTTAATATAACATCTACATGTGCTTGACAATATTGCGTTAATTCTAAATATGTTAAGATCCAGAAAATCTTAAATTTGGCAGAAAACCGGAAATAAATTATAACAAAATATATAAAAATATATATATTCTCGGACTCACAAATATTTTGAATAATATTTCAAGATTATACATTTCCGTGCTTTTTCTGGCAAACATTATTTTTAAACAGGAATAATTATATTAATAAGTTAGAAGAGACAAATATAATTTACGCAAATATTATATATTTTTATTGTAACAAAATAACATGCTTATAATGTCAAAATTGCCGATAACGATAAACAGAGATCTGTTTGTATATTGCGAAGTTTAGATGTAAATTACACAAGGGTTAATATCTCACCGCTGTAAGTAGCACCCACATAAATCTGACCGCTTTTGCCATCGTTAGACGAAGTATTGTGGTAAAGGAATTCTGACAGCTTTCTATTTAACTTGATCCTGGCGACGTGAAGTGTACCGGCTAGGACTAAAGTAAAACACATCGTGTTTAACATCGTCTATATATGCCGTCTCGTACGTAATAAGCAAAACGTAATCGCATAAGGGCGCCCACATGTACACGTTATAACGGCAGATATAGCTGCAATCGCCAAATACTTGCTGAAACAAATCGTACGGAGAAATATCACCGTTACAGCATGGTGCAATTTGTTTCGTTATAAATTATTAGTTCAATAACAAAAGCCCTCTCTCTTGATGTAATATGTAATAGGAAAATTCTATCTGCGTTACGTATTTTCGAATTTTTTCCTGTTTTTTTTTTTTATTTCATAAATAAAGCGGACGAATATGAATGCTGCTTTTATGAATTTTACAATGAATATTCGTATGAGTGAGTGTACACCGAGAGAATAAATAACGAACGCAAAAATAAATTTATTTGGAACTTTCTTTGGTGTCATTTCATGAGCCAATTGGACCGGAATAAATATTTTATTTGCCATCGCGTAAACATCTTTTGAATTTTAATAACGAAATATGCACTTGCTATTCATTTGTAGGTAGCTAGATACATACATATATGTATAAGCGAGAAAAATATAACTCACGTCTTTCGTTTGCCGCTATTCTATCTAGACTTTACATAGTAATATTCTTTTGTTGGTCATCTGTACACATCTAATGCACCTATACATTTTTCATTCTTTATTCTCTTAGTGTACACTCAACTTCAAAAGTAGAAAAGATGATATACTGGTTGATTAATTATGCAGCAGCAGTGGAATGAATAATATGGATAGTCTTGTCTTATTTTATTTTACAATTTGCGCAAACATATTATTCTAAAAACAAATAGAATCTGATGTAATAAAGAGTGGCGAATGATGTCAAGTTTTTCTTTTTGTGTCTTGTTTACGAAGCGCACGAATTGAGCAGAAATTAATTTTGCTTCACAATATAACTACTGCGTAAATTAAACAGGTTTTCTAATTATAATTGTTTCCTTTGTTAGCATATTTTACCGAGGTATAAAGTCTTAGGGCGCAGACTGCAAGAGATTTTATTCACCAATTTTATCATGCATGTCAGAACTTTTGATTTTTCATGAGAATCATTTTTACCTCGCGGAATCGAATGCGAAAATCCGATTCTTAAACTTTTATTTCGAATAAAAGTGAATTGCGCGATAGCCGCGAGCGAATTCCGTGAAACAGTGATAATTTCGAAGTCGTGAAACGAACGTTGCTCGAAAAACCGGTCAGATTTTTTCCGATTGTCCTGGAACAAACTGCCGCGACCGACTCTCCTTGAAAGAGCTGTTTTCGACCGAGAAATTTTATTCTTATTGGATCGTTTTCATGAAATTATTGTGAAGGTCGGAACTTTGTCGATTCGTCGTAGCCGCGACATGTTCTCGAAAACAAACTAGTTTAATGATTGCTTAAGACAATATGTGAAAGATTTTAGAAACTTGGAAGAAAAAGTTTTGAGGGATTATCAAGAAATGATAAGAGAGACACAAGAGGCGACTGCTACAAATTATCTGGAAAGTTTGATGTGGCGTTGTCTGAAGGACTTTTGCTTTGCTCTCCTAGCGTTTAAGTCAGTTTTTACTGGCTGATTCAATGAAAAATTAATCTTCATATAAGGAAAAAGTTTAAATGACAGGACGTGATAAAAAAGTGTCGTTGCCACTGAACTAATTGAATTAAACTTTAAAGTGGATTAAAGCAGAAAATGGAAGCGAATACAGCCAAGAGAATAATTGGTTACATATCAACGATAGCAATAAGTAGCGCGCAGAGAACATGAATACATATTCTCATATTACGTGAAATTACGTGAAACTTGTTGAAAATTGCATTTTGCTACTTTCATTATCTTGCTAACATCATTTTTTCGCATAAATTGTAGCTGTTTTTAAACTTCAAAATTTTTTTAATCAATTTAGTTGATTATAATAATAGATATTATGTTCAACGTTATGCGAATACATTTAATTAAAATTTGTATTTATTTTTATCTATAAAATTGAGTTGACTTTTATTTTATAAAATTCTCTGAATAATTCAAAAACTGTTAAATATTCCTCTTATTTTTATTTATAATAATTCGTATATCGAAAGAAATGCGAATAATCTTTATTCCTTTTATTCGAGTCATCTTAATCAGATCGTGAAAGACCATCGTGGAATGCATGCTGCCTTCTCATTTCCGGACGTGTACGGTATATCAATGACAACTTAGTTTAAGCATCATGGTGTGACTTACCACCGGTATCAACGAGCGCTGACTCGCAATCGCGTGAGCGCCTAGCCAGCTCGTCACGCAATTAACAATCCTGCACTGGGATCCGCTCGTTTACATATGCGAATATGCAAGAGTGTGGAGGTATGCGATGTCGAGGACGACTTGAGACCGTTAGGAGTCTTTTCGAGACCAGTTTTGTCCCGACAGTCGCCCGCGAACCTCGAGATTGTCCGTGAAAACATCCGATTCCTCGATGATTGTCTAAAGCTTTCAAATATTTTTCTCAAAAGATAACAAAATATTTGAAATTAGCTTAGAGTTATTAGATTGTTCTAAAGTGGTTTTGGAATTATTTGCCAAAATCGATTTCTTACCTTAAACTTGATATTTTTCGATAGCGTGATATACATATCACACTATCAGATCGATTATCGATATATCAAATCAATTTTGATAGATTTAAATTTTTATTTCTTTTCAGAATATCTCGCGAAATAATTGATATAGGCTTGTGCTAGAAAACATAGCAGATTTGTGAATTTTTACAAAGTGCATAGTTGAAAAAGTGAAAAAATTTCGTCATGAAGATATTATGCAGTTTAATGGTAATTTTGATTCTTCGACAGGTAAGTGATACCTATTGTTATTGTGTTATTAATCAATGTGGAAATGTATCAGTAATAATTGGATCAGCGAGCTGTTACATTATTTAGAATTACTGCTATATCTAAAGTTGCAAAAAGATTATTGCTTTTATAATCTCAACAAATCGAGAAACTTGTCATTGTAATCGGGTCATTTATTAAATTATTTGAACGCAAAAATCAAAATGTTATATAAAAATATATCTCTATTTCTGCTTTCTCTGATTCAATATTTAACTTTAAATTTGCATAATTTTACGTTTTCAATTGTTCTCGTTTAATTTTGCCATTTAACGTTGTATTAATAATATTCTCACTCGATCTGCTTTTATTGTGAAATACTTCCACATAAATACGCGCTACGGCCATAATCGCGGCTTAACGGCTCGGAGAGCTACGTATATTCGCGTACTTTAACGGAAATGTTAATTAAAATTCCTCACTGCTTCAGGTCATCGCCGGAATCGTTAGGAAGCCGCCAGCCTTTTCAGCACCAGTGTATTCGAATTCGTATCTCCCCGCCGCCATGCAGGTGAGTCACTTAAATTAATGAGAGACTCTGAACATTAAACTTGCGTGCGTAATCGTAATGCTCTTCATGTAATGGTCCGGAAACATTTTGCATTTTCATGCTTCTTCATTAATTCATTGTCACACTCGTTTCACGTACCTTATTATTTCGTTCGACCTTATTATTTCATGTAGTTTATTCTGAAACATTAAAAACTTGAAGAAATTTTTGTAGATATTTTTATTAACTTTACTATATTAATTTTTTAACAGTACATATGTTAAACATTTTAGTACAGTGTAGTAATAGTGCAATAAAACATTTATTATCGTTATAAAAATATTATACATATGTACTTGTCTTGCATATTTATTTTCATGTTTGTTTTGACAGAATATTACATACATATATCATATGACATATACATTCAAGGTTTGAAAATATGAAATATTGGAAAAGCAGCTTCCCTTTCATAATTTACTTTTGATTCAGGTAATTTTTCACACGGTCGAGCAATTGAGGCAGCTTCAAGAGGATGAAATATTGCAAGAACAGTCAGTAAGTAAACCATCGCCGTCGACATCGACGTTGACATCGCCGTCGACGGAGTCGATGAAGCATCAGCAATCTCAATCGACGACGCCCGAAGGGATCTCCACGACGACAACCGCTGCAACCGTGAACGTGCATAACAGAACACAGACTCCCGAACTCTTATCAACTTCGACTCCAACGAGCGAAATATCGAGCCAAGGATCATCCAAGACTTACGACGGTCTTACGAAAGCCGTTCAACACGCAACTTCGACCGCGAGCGTCTCGGTCGTATTCGACGGCAATCACGAAGAGTTGCCTGAAGTGAACGAGGAGACGACTGAAGCAAATTATGAGTCTACGGCAACACCAGAAACGAATCACGAATCACCGGAGCATGTGCATGAGATCCAAGAATCGAATCAAGAATTCCCAGAGAAAAGTGAGGAAGAGAAATCTGATGCATCGCAACAGCAATCGACACAGATTTCCGTTACGGAAGCTTTGGATAGTCAAAAGAAGAGGGAACCGTCCGTCGATAGCATCATAGGCGAAATTTACGGAATCGTGAAGACGACCACCTCGCCGTTCAGCGAGGAATCAGATTCTACTGACAATTCGAAGAGCGGAATCTCGATTGAGAAGATGGAGAGTATTGAAGACGAAGAGGAAGAAACAAGGTGACGAATTTAAAAATTATGTCATTGTTACAGGAAGAATTGTTTTCTATCTGCTTTTGGAGAAATTTTAATAATCGAGTCCCGTATGCACTTTATTGAAAAAAAAAATCATTCTATACATATGTTGATAACATATTGATTTTTAAAAATTTGATATCTCATTTATCGATTTCAAAACTCTCAAGATAATAAGAACAATTATTGCACAATTTATAATAATTAACATAGTAAAGTACAATTCAGTTTAATTGCTGCGGATTTAAACAGACCCGAGGAAACACCGAGAGGGAGAATAAATACCGACCTGGTCTTAGAAAATGTTAATAAAGAGCGCTCTTAATGAGTTGCGTTTCCTTTGCCTTTACCGTCGCAGGTTCACTCTGCTGGGTGAGAAAGTAGCTCAAGTACCGCGGCCGAGTTTGAACAGCTACTTAAGGCGTGCCAAAGTGCCGCCTAGACCGGCTATTCAACAGCTGGCGAATCTTTATGACGCTCTGAGCAAGGATGCGCGGAAGCAGGGATTCGCACGTTTCGCCGGCTATTCAGATGACGTCCTGACGACTTTGCAATCGTCTGCCGAGGGAGGCGTGGGACCGCAGCTGAAGCGGCTGTTAGACAAGGTGGTAGTGCAAAATGAGCTCACCAGAGACGACGCAAAGAAGAAAGCGTTACAGGCGCTGCGAGATCTCGACGATCCTGCCAGTGCGCTCAGCAAGGATATCAGACGCTTATTACCTTTACGTTATACGCCCTGATTTTTTTAGAGAAATTGCGATGCTCTTGTAATTTGTAGAATGAAGATACACAAATACTCTTGCAATATAACTTATTTTTTTATTAAGAAAAGATTATTGTATCCTTACAAATGACAAAAAACTGATATCTCTCAGGACTTTTAATGTTCCTAAAATGTATATCTGATATGTCTTATTAAGAATTATTTTATTGATACAAATAATTTTTTTCGTCATACAAAATGTAAGTATATCTGTTATCTGTTTAAATAGATAAAAACACGAATTATATTTTCAATTTTCTTTCAATGTATCTTTGCGTTTGACGATGATTCTTCTGCGTACCACTTGGAAATTATTTTCATCGCTATGTCGATAGTGTCACCTGGGAAAAGATGAAGTAAAACTTATCAGACTACTCGAGAAAGCATTATATTACAAAAACAATTTTTAAAATATTTGCAATTTTATTAAATATTTTTTTTTGTATGATATATTTTAAGTATAATCTGTACTTTAATCATTTTAACGAATAAAATTCGATGACATTTTTATTTTGATTATCATCTTTAAAAAAGTTTAGACAGTGCGAGGCGAGTGATATAGATACGTTTAGAACAAAGTGAAAAAAAGCTTCCGTTGGTCAAGTAAGAGTGATTCATATAGAACTTGCGAAAAAAACGCCAAAAGCATAAGTACCTTTTAACTCCGTCGGATAAAGCTTCGTAGAAAAGGTGAAAGGCTGCTCGACCTCGTGAAATATCCTGTCGTTAATCTCGCTGATGTTGAGCTTAGTTCCTTGGACCAACGATTTTTCGAGGGCCGTCAGGAAGAGCGCCCATCTAGACTTGAAGTAATCTGCGACCACTCCCGACCACTGTTTATTCGCGTAGTCTCTGATCTCGCCATTTGGGCCCACAGAGTAATCTGATTTCTCGCATTATATTCGTAAGAACGTTTCTCTTCTTCGTCGACGGCCATATCTTTCGCCTGGGCTAACCAGGTACCCAGTAGAAAATTATTTCCCGACGCCAAAATAGATTCGAGATCGTCAAACAGTTCCAACATATCGCTTGCGTGTGATCTACGACGCGTGTTAACAAGAATAAAATTGCGAATTGTTAAATATGAAACGCGAATCGCAATTGTATAACAATTGAGGAAGATTATTTCAAAATAGTTGTTATTTACTGGAAAAAATTTTTGAAATATAAAAAGAATGTTTTATATTTAAATAAACATCTTTTTAAATATTTTAGAGCATTATACAAAAACTTCTGTGAATAGATTTCTATGATATAACTCTTATAAATCTTATAAATCACGACAGTTGTATTTTAAGACTTTATATAATTTAAAAGTGGATATGGCACGTTTTAGAAAAACTTTTCTAAACTATGCTTATCTGTTATACGCTTTGAAAGATATATTTTGTTATCTTCTCTGTGTCAGTAACTTTATCTTTCTTGATAAAAAACAAGCCAATATAAAGCCAATATAAAATAAGCCTTATGTTTTATTAACAGTTAAGAAAAAAAAAAACTGTCGTGTGTAATATAGTTATGAGATACATGGATCTTATCAATATACTTACCGAAAAGTAGTGATGTTCTTTTTTTTATAGCTACTTAATACTCTCGTATAGATACCGTCAGCCATTAATTGGAGACCCTGTCTCGTTATATCGACCACATCATGTCGGTAGAGAGTATTATTTCCTCTGCCGTATCTTGCTTTTAAAAACACATTCCACATAAAATAGAAATTTTCCCGATCATAATAAATCTGTATTAAAAAAAAAAGCAAATTATTCCACATCATTATTTTTAATTACGAGATTTAATTAATTAAATTAAACAATATAATTTTTGTTTCGACATTTTAGTTTTACTTTTATCTATTTTCATTTTCCATTTAGTTACATCTCATTATATTGAAAATTAAGTCTTCGCATTCGTATCGTTTACAGGATATATAATTATTAATATATGTACCTACCCATGGTGAAATATTTAAACTTGGCCGTCTGGTAATGACGTAATGCCCTCTGATCCTTTCCGGACCGATAAAGTTATAAACTGTTCTACCGAGGTATCGCCAAGTAGCCGTCGTGTATTCGTTCCACGCGCCGTACCTTCGAGTAGCGTAATTTTCGAACCTGCCAATTAATTATCTTTCGTCACATCAATTTAATCAACTAAATGAGCTTTATTGAACTCTTATACGAACTCTTTATGCAATTCTCTATTTGAATTACATTCAATTTTATTAAAAAGTATCAAGATGCGAAAATCTTAACACAAAATGGTACTTCGATAAAAATCTATCATTGTACCTAGCGTAGAATTGTGTAGCGCACATTCTCACCAAGCGTCGAGATCCACGGGTTCGTGACGATACGCCATCTCATTCATTAATTCGTATATTACGTAGTTCTGATTGATGCCTTCGGGTGTTAGGCCGGTTCCCACCATCGTGCTGCCATTCATATTCCTACCCTCGAATGTGCGCTAGGCAAAGAACGAATTAGTTATCCGGCAATTTACATTCGGCCTAATTCATTGTCTTGACATTCCTCAATATTCTTTTTTGCTGACGGATTTAGGAAAGAACATTAAACAAAAATTTGAGATATTAGTGGATTATGTGTGGAAAATGGAAAAACGGCTAAATATATTTGAGATTACGACGATCATACAAGATCATTATACAAGATGACTTAAAGTCAGTATGCAAATTTGAAAACTGCTTATTAAAGTTTCGAAACAATTCTTTTATATCTTAGTATAATATAAAATGTTGAAATGTAGAATGCTAATATATAACAAAGAGAAAATTATTTGTTAACGAAAATAAAGTAAAAACAAGTTTCTGACATACCTGATTAATGATCTGTGCAGATCCGAACATTCCCAAAGTACCGCCGAAATTGTGAAGCATACACCAAATAAATGGCTGACCATAATATGATTGGAATCGGCTGTATTGTGGGAATTGTTCCGATTGTAAATCCAATACCAGCATTCGCCCCTGCGATTGATTTTAGTAAATAATTAAAAATTCATGATGATTGTATCGGCATAAAACGATTATCTTCAATTGAAATAAATAAATGTCAAATTTTCAAAATAAATTTTTTACCATAGGCGTATTCATTTATCAATGAGATGCCATTAAAGTTTATTAATATTTTGAACTCACCGTAGGCACTGAGGTTAAAAAGGACCTAACTCTGGGTTCCGTCCAAAATGTGGAATCGTGCACGAATAACCAAGCTTGCACCAACCTTGAAAAATCACAGATTTATGTAGGAATATGACTATTATATATACTTGTGTAGTATCCATATTGCATTTGAAAGAAAGCCAGCTATATGCGCTAAAATATACTATAAATTAAATTATCCGTTCTTTAATTCATTCACTCACCAGATCGCTTTAGTATCGGTAGCGTTCATAGCCGAAAAAATTGATCGGCCAACGTTTCTCAAATAAGTAAGATTACTTTTACTGGGTTCATTTTCATTAAAAGTATCACAATTGTAAATATGATCGGTGCCGAATTCGTCAATGTACTGCAACAATAAAATATTTATGTTCGTATCTCTTTCTTGATGCTTTTGAAAATTATATTATGTAAAATATATTGTATACCATTTGTAGGAATTTCTGTCCAATGATTTTAAATAGTGAATGTGTTGGTTCTAATAAATAAGGGCTGAAAGTAAAAATCATGCTGGATGAGTGGAAAATTTGTTAATATTATTATAATAATAATTAAACACAATTTTGTGTATTATTCTTCAATACACAAGATGATACATACGATGATGTACAAAAACAGTTTTACGTTTATTTTTAATATTTCTATTAGTTATTATATTTTATGAGTATTATGAGAAAAATACTTTACTTAAAATACTTATTGCAAGAAAAAGAAAAATAGTTCGAAATTAATGCAATAGTATAACACTAGATTGATCATACCAACAATATTTATCATTGAATTTGTTCCAAGGATCGATCTTCGTCATGTTAACGTTTGGAAAAAGTCTGGCAAAAGCTCGTGGTACATGGCCGGCGAATGCTGGTAATACCGGAACAATTCCAAGATCTCTCATTCTTCGAAGAATCTGATGTTGTAAACGTATGGTGCGATTATGCCAATTTGACGATAGCGGCCCACCAAAACCACGAATATTACCCATTCTCATCCTAAATGTCATGAGAAACATATTCTATCTTCCGTGAAAGTAATATAGTAAATTTAAAATAAACGGTTACTCAACCAGGGTAGGAAGGCAGGTCCGCCCAAATGCTCGTTAATCTCATTTTCGGTGAGATTAAATTCTCGATATAATTTTTGCCAGATCGCCTCTTGAGCGGTAAAAGCGAGAGCAAGATTGATTCCATTAAGAGCCATCCAGTCGATATTTTTTTCCCACTGATCCCACTGCCACCAGGCTGAACTGTAACCCGCAGTACACACATTCTGGTAATATCTGAACCTGAAAAATTACAGAATACTCTAAATATATATTTTCAAAAATTAATATGATGCACAAATTACGATAAATAATAAAGTGTCACGTGCTGTGTCACCTGTCGTTAGATGTGATTTTAACTCGAACGTTTGGCAATGTGTTAGGTAGATCAATTTGTGTACCGTCCCACGATATGTGACCATTACAATAGGTTTTCAAATAATAATGCAAACCCCATGTGACCGCGACACCGGAAGTGCCGCAAATTTCGATCTTGCCTAGAGAATTTTTTGTTATCTGTCAAAAAAGAAATTCATCGGCAATGTCGAATTATTTCGCTGTAAATAGATTTACATTAACGTGTAATTGCTTTACACGAGCTGCACCTTGAAAGTATCCTTGCCATCAGGACCCAAATTAACATCTACTTTCATAATAAACAATTTAGATCTCTCTTTGCCCAGCAGTCTTTCTGCAACATTTTCAGCTGCTTTCGCCTGAACTTCCGATGACGCTCGTGGTTTTATATGGCCTAAAGTATTCTGAAACACTGTTCATGTTTTCAACCACCATGAGATAGATGAATTATATAAAACAAAATAAGAAAGTAAGTGTTAAAACTACTGCTAGGTGTTTGTACAATCTGTCTTTATTTATATGTATTAATAAGAAAAGTTTCGGCCACAACATAATCCTCTTTAGTGTCCAACAATCTTGTTATTTCTAAAATTTAATTTTTAACGTTTCTATTCTGTCAGTTGTTCATTTATTATCATATAATATATATAATTACTGCAATTTATGGCACATAATTAATGCAATGATCAAAATGTTTGTTATTAATACATATAATATAATAAAAACAGTGCGCACACACACACAAACCTAGCAATGGCTTTAAACTTATCTTCGTATTTTGATTTGTATAATGCTTCACGGCTTTAATTACACTACGTTTGATAAATGTATTATTAATGATCGATATTTAATGATGGATGAAAAATAATTGACCATAATTATTATACTTATGTAATCTTAAATAATTTTATATGTATATATTTTTCCAATTAACAACTTAATTTATTTAAGTTTACTCACTATCGCGTTTATGGCAACGGCTAGTTGATATAAACAATCCAAATATTATAATGGATAGTCGTAACCATGATATCACGGTACCCATTTTAACGGACGCACAGCCTCTTTAACACAGCTACGGGACACGTTTCTTCTTCTTTGACTTCGGAAGGAACAAAGCCCTGATTATACGGTAATATAATTTCTTGAAGAGGGAAATTTTGTGGAATATAACAAAAGTGAATAAACCGATTCAACGGTGACAAAGAAAATGATGTAACGTTGACTAACAAAGGGCCGCTTGGTGAGGGAAATATACAAATTTTGTAAAATAAAAATGAATAAACCGAATCAACAGTGACACAATTGATGCAACGCTGTCCAACAAAGGACAAACGATATACACTAACACAAAGATCTGAGCTCAAGTAAGCGCACGACCACGCGCTCTCAACGCTTAACGCCCAGACTCTACTAATACACATTGAAGTGCAGAGACAGATTGAGCAATCATGTTGTCGCATTTTACATCCCCACTCTTTGGACTTCTTATCTGATGAGGCCTCTGACCGTCATGACTGTGAATGTTTCTAACGGACATTGAAAGATACGATTACATTCACGATACGTGACCGCTCTAGTGATAAACACGGTAACAAATTATCGCTCATAATTCAGAATCATATCATTTACAAGGTGTATAATTTATTTGATGAAATTTATTTCCTTTCTTTATATATATACATACACATATTGAATATTTAATTAAGGAAAAAAAATATACATAAATAAAGAAATATACGTTTGGAAATTATAGTACTGAGCTACTGCTAAACAATGTTCCGATTTAAAAACAAATTTTGTTGCATATTTAAAATTTTTCGATAGAGCACTCCATCTTGGTTGATGGATCGTTAAAATTTTTTGTTGCGATATGAAAAAGATCGAGTGCACTCTTCATAAATTTTGATCGTTAAATCGTCGTTTATATTTTATCTATGATTTTATAATATTTAAAAAGTAGAGTATAATACATACATTAACGCTTATGTGTTATATAGCCTATAATTACAAAAAATGAAGTAAATAAGTACTTTAGAGTATTTGAGAGTGTTTTGAAATATTTTGACTTCATATTGACAGAATATAAATGATAAAATGAATTTAAAAACAATTTTTTGTTGTTAATGTGTATATATATATTAATATATACATATTAACATTAATATTACAAATACACACACACACACATATATATATATTAAATATATATTGCAAATATATACTGTATTATATATAACATGTAATATATTATACTAATATTATAGGTATAACTAATACTGTTTATAAATATTAACATAATATATATACATAATATATTAATATAATATAATATATATATTTTAAATAGTATTCATCGCCGAAAATTATATATGGTTTCCATCTTGCATTCTGTCGCAAATGATACATAAAGTAATTCGTCATTGAAAAGAGATGAAGAAGAAATAGTGGAGAATTTAAAAAATTATTCCTTATAAGTGACCTTATAAGTGACATATAAAATAAAAGTATATCAATATCAATAAAATGTTCAATTTTTGTGTATTGGCGATGGACAGTGAAAGCACTAAATGATTTATTATACTTATTTCTATGAATGTGAATAATGTGAAATTATTTCAACATCTAACTATTATGACAATGAAACAGTACTTTTTAAATGTGAGGTTTAAATGTCTTTTTTCTTTGCTTCAGTGGAAACTGTATCAGATGTATCAGAAATAAATACATCATCGTCCTCTTTTACGTTTCCCCCAGTCCATAAACCGCAATAAATTCCGAAATGTTGAAATTGTTTTTCGATTGGACTACTGAAAATACTACTCGAGAAAATAAAACAGATGTTCAAATGATTTAGAGACAAAATAATATGTAATGAAGAGATTCAATAAGTAGAGAATTATTTAAAGAATAATATAGCAAAAAAAAGTTAAATAAATTGAATGTTTTGCATTTTAAAATACAGAGTGTTAAATTCCATTGTTAAATAGTGTTTTGTACAGTTTTATGAAAATATGTCTAGATTAAAAATTAATTCGTCAAAATATAAAGTCAGAAATTTTTTAATTTAGTATCTTTTTTACATTATTGGTTAATTTTTTTATAATTATTGCAAGTACTTAAAGCTTATATTTTGAACTCTTTAGTTACAGATTTGATAATAAACACAAGTAAAATAATTATATTAACAAAAATACAGTTAATTATATAAGTGTATACAAATACCTCGAAATCGGTTTGATATTTTTAAGAATTACATTTTCGCCGATTTTTATCCAATCCCAGTTTTTTTCTTCAAAAGGATCGATCGATTCGTCAGTATAAACGATAATATTTGGTGACGCATACGTTTTTGTACCATGTAGCTTTAGAAATGTTCTTGATGTCATCAATACAAAACGTGGTAAAGTTATAAGTTTTCCCTAAAAAAGTTGCGAATTATTTAGCTTTTTTTATTTTAATATATATTAAAACAATATATTGCTTCAAATATGCTTATAATCTTTATATCAATTATATTTTTTAATGCTAAAAAAGCAACATTTATATCGAAGACTTATTTATATTGCACGTATTTATACTAGTTCATATGTCATATTTGTGTTATATATGTGAGGGTAAATTGGAAAAATTTTAATAAATCTGCTTTGTTTTTCAAAGATATTGTCAGCAAGAAATAAATTAAATAATGATTTTAACAAAAGTTGCAATAAATTTTAACAATTACAGCATAACATGTATTGTTAACTTTAAGGTGATTTGAGCGTGACAATATTAGCCAAAAGTATTGCTTTTGCGAGGGGGGATAGAGATTAAGAAATTCTCATTTACACATGAAACTTTTATCTATGATTGTCCGAAATGCTACATTTTGATATATGTATTAAATTATACACTATGCATTGCCATAAATGTAACAAAATGTATTGATTTATTTTTGAATTTGTAATCGGTAAGTTAAAATATTGTGATGATACATTCTATTCGTAATTGTGATTTTTTTATATCATTAAGTATAAAATATGTCGACGAAAGTGAGACATAACGGAAAACGGATTACAAAAGTGTGCATTTACATTTAATACGTTATAATAATACATAGCGTATAATAATACATAGTGTTGGCATATTGTTATGTCAGTGTTTCATCACCAAGTGTAATAAAAATCTTTAAATTTCAAAGTTTAATTTCTCAATAATTAACAAGTGAACTATTGTAACTTTTTTTCTAAAAGTCTTATTATGAATTTTCTAAAAGCTTTCTTATGAATCATTCATTTATTATTAACTAATTTTTTATCAAAACTGTCAAAATATTTTTTTTTATTGCAGCATAAAATTAAATGTAACATTGACTTTTACTATAAGACTTTGTGTAAAAGTTTTTGTACTTGAAGTTAAATATCTTGGTAACTGATAAAAACATATCGTATTGAAAATGTGAAATTATATTTATGAAACCTCTAAGTATGAATAGTATAAATTTGAATAATTTCTTAAGAAACTTAATTAACGCTATCCTAACTCTTATGTTTAGAAAATTTATTTTCTTCTATTTACTTTAGTTTTTGTTTTCAGCGATTTGTGTAACAAATTTATTCACGCTTGTAAAACCTGATAGAAATTGATAATTTGATTTGTTCAATAATTATTTTTAATTGAATATATTAATTACCGTTTGATCATTTTCTATATTTTCGTATCCTTGAACAAAGAGGGACCAATTGTCTTTTATTCTTTCTGTAGAGTCCCAATTACTTGGAATTATTTGTGCCAAAGTTATATCCTGCTTAGTCTCATTAATATCTTCAGCATAGATTAATCTACACTTTAATTTGTTAGTATTCACATACAGAAATTGTAAACGTAAATAGATAATACTTACTCGTATAGCAATTGATTAACTTCATTATTTGAATCGTAATATGTCTCTAAAGTCCCATTCCATGTTTCTTTTGTGAAACTATAAGAAGGATTGCGATATGGGTTTATATCCAAAGGTAATGCACCGGAATCCGCATGGGCGCTGCTGAACATTGCTTTGGTAATGTTTGTTTGTACCACTTCCGCTGATTTCAACGCAGGATATCTTCGAATATCTTCGAATTTGTCTTTTGTTTTGTTGTACACTATAAACATTCTAATAACGCGCAATAAATATTATTTATTTTATTTTAGATTTTGAAAGTTTTATCATTTTGAATTTTGTCAAAATAGTAAGACAGGATTTCGTACTTACCCGTCCCAAAAATGTGATCCGCCATCTGTTGTACACATTCCATAATCACGAAAGTCAAATGAACTATAACGTCCTGGTTCTGTACTTGATTTCAGTGGATATATCATTAAAGCAACTGCCTTGCCAATTTTCTTCCATTTCAGATTAGATAGATTGGGTTCAACATCATCATCAATTTGCGACATCATTGATTGCCGCTTTTTCTTATGTTTTTGAGGATTTTTTACGTTTTCGTCGGAGATACGATTGTCTGTTCTTTTAGAAGTAGAGGCGTAGTTTGTGTAACAAATGTATTCACGCTTGTAAAACCTGATAGAAATTGATGATCTGATTTCTTCAATAATTTTTCGTCAATTATTATATAGCGTTGCATGCTATCATGAAAAACATCATAATTGCGACACTACCTATCATTTTTACAATCTCATTTTCCTGAAATCACATAGATTTGTATATTTAATTGACATTTTAAAATTTTATTTCGTTATTTTGAAATCTTATTTGTATGTTATTTATTTTTTTATTTTTATATTGTAAATACTTTAGTGAATACATACCATTTTGTTGCATTTGTGCAATTAACAATCATTTTATCCGCTTTACTTTTGCTCTTCGTCTTGCGTTGTTGGAATTTTTGCGTATGGTATTTTGTACCTATATGATAATTATTTTGTTCGTGGAGCTTATGAATCTTGTCTTGTCTGATGATGATTATACACTATTCTGGATTCGCGAAGCAATCGTAAACTGATACAGTTTGCGCTCACCGTTTGTCCTAACATTATTATGTTTCGTATAAAATATTTATATTTTTATTTCTTTAATAGCTTGTCCTCTATATTGTATATGAAAGGGGGGAGAATGTGTGGCAGTTATACTTTTAAGCTAATATCTTTGCGTTTTAAATTCGTTTATTAATTATTGGTATATTTTAAAGAAGGTAAGTTTGATTTGGGTATTTAATTTTAAAATTTTTTAAGATAGAATTTGGCATCTTTTCAAAGAATATTGGTCTGTTGGTAATGTGTATGAAGTTAGCCCCACACTTTAATAAAATTAAAATAATCGAAATTGCACTGCATTGTACTAGTTTTGTACCAAATTGTACCGTAGTTAATTTTTTGAAATCACGCGCGGATTTTCAAAAAATCCAAATTTTTGAATTTTTTGAGTAGCCCCACACTTTTCGAAAAATGATTTTTTTTCGACTGTACTACATTGTACTAGTTGTACCGAACATTGTACCGTTTCAAAAGAATTTCTAACAAATTTGGATTTTGAGAAAAACAAGAAAATTGAAAAATTTTGGACATTACGTAATTACGGCAAATCGGCTATTTTTTAAGATATCGAAACGCGGTCAACGGGGTTCGAAAAAGAATCGTTTGTACCGGTTTGTACCGCTTTGAATTTCGTTTGCACCTCAACCGGACCGGAAGTACCGAATTTTGCAATTTTTAAAAAGTACTTCCGGTCCGGTTGAGTTGCAAACGAAATTCAAAGCGGTACAAACCGGTACAAACGATTCTCTTTCGAACCCCGTTGGCCGCGTTTCGATATCTTAAAAAATAGCCGATTTGCCGTAATTACGTAATGTCCAAAATTTTTCGATTTTCTCGTTTTTCTCAAAATTTAAATTTGTTAGGAATTTTCTTCAAACGGTACAATGTTCGGTACAACTAGTACAACGTAGTACAGTCGAGAAAAAATCATTTTTCGAAAAGTGTGGGGCTACTCAAAAAATTCAAAAATTTGGATTTTTTGGGAATCCGCGCGTGATTTCAAAAAATTAACTACGGTACAATTTGGTATAAATCTAGTACAATGCAGTACAATTTCGATTATTTTAATTTTATTAAAGTGTGGGGCTAAGTTCATACACATCTGTTGGTATCGTATTTCAAAATACTTTTGTGTTAGTGATGCGATATTTCCTATCGGGCTCCCGGCTTCCGAGAGTTGGAATTGTTGCATGTAGTATTACGATATTTACTTTCTCTTTGTGCGTGTGATATGTATCTTGCCTGATTATGACACGCAACAATTCAGTTCCACGCACAAATATCGACAGTATATTTAACATGTTAATCAATGTGAATAAATAACAACATTGCAGTACTATGTTTATGCTTTATTCCTAATAAAGGTTTTAGTACAATTATTACAAGGTATATATTATACGTAAATTTATATATTACAATATATATATTTTTATATTACTATAAAAATTATACTCATATATTAATATAAAAATGAGAGACAAAAAGCTTATACTAAGTAAAATAATTTGCTCGGTTTAAAGTCAAAATAATCAAAAGAAGTATATTTATAGTAATATATAAAATTGTTCAGATAATTGTTAGGTAGCGCAATATTATTTATTTGAGGTTCGTTTAGAGATAGAATTTAACGCTCACACACACGCATTACATTATTACATTTATGTAATAATCTTTTACAATTTATATTAACAAGCTGGTGCCAATTTGAGCAATTGATATTGTCAAGAAAAGATTGATTTTTTTTATGTTACAAAGAAAGAATAAACAATTAATTATTCTTATCACTGTGCATTAACACTATTTGTCATAGGCAGAAAATAATTGACTTAAAGCGGGAAGATAGTAATCAGGACAAGTATCCTCCTCTTCTTGCGTCTTTTCTAGAGTTTCACTTTCAGTTCCAACGAAAAGCTTTATAAATTCACACATTGATGCAAATTTCACATCTTGAACAGCTCTGTGAGAACATTTTGGACGAATAATATGATCTTAGAATGAAACGATCGTATGAATGTAACACAAATATGTATTTTTAGCATGTATTTTAAATGAAAACTTGTGTATTTCTGAAAGAAAAATATTTTATTATAATTTTTATTAACGTGTCACCGATGAACAAACATCTTTGTGGATTGGTCACTTTGCACGTGTCGAAAATGAAATCTTTTAATGCTTGGCTGAGTTTACCACATAAAATTGGATTTCTTTGACTTTGTGTATTGATAAAATTTATCAAATGTGCAGAATCTAACAAAACAGAAGATAACAAAATATGATATCACTGTTGTTAATTTTGAAAGTATTTCATTTAACTTTTCTTCCAACTTTTTCCCATACCAAATGAATAAGACAAGTTTTCACATTATAGACCAATATTAATACTTTTCTATTATTAATCAGAAGTATTTTTTTAAATTTAATTATAATATTAATACATATTTATTTAAAATTTTAATTTGCTGTAATGTTTGTACATAAACCATTCGTCCATTGCTCCAGTTATATATGACACATCTTTACGTTTGAGGCACGATATGGCCAAAACTAACTTTGACCAATTGAAATTAACATCAAAGTCAACAATTACAGCTTTAACAGATGGTCTATCTAAAACTTCCTTTATATTTGCAGCTATATCTGTGAGAGAAGTTTTTGGCTGCAAAATGAATATTTGATTTAATCCCTCTCTTTCTTTCAATTGCCTTTTATTAAAGATAATTTCTTTAATTTAGATAATTTAGATAATTAGATAATTTCTTTAATTTAATTTTTTTTATTTAAGATTTTAGAAAAGTTTGAAAATTATTCTACTTTTTTACTTACTTCCTCTACTAGTTGTATCCTTGCTTTTTCTAGTATGTTACGAGACAACTCTGAAACAATGGCGAAAGCTTTGTCACAAAAATCGATTTTTTTCAAATACTAGACGATCACTCTGGTACTGTTAATTACGTGGTTCTGTAAGCACAATTGTCTCTATTATTTGTTGATATTTTTAATACATAGTTTATATATATAGATTATATTATAGCGTTTTATGTTGTATATTAAAAGGAAAAAATCTCTCTCTTTCTCTCTCTCTTTCTTTTACCGGAGTCACATTCAAAGAGGCACATTGAGCAGTTTTACAAAAATTTTCCATCATATTCGTGCTGTTATTTGTCACTAAACACACTTGCTTCCCCAAATTTTGCAACGCCGCTAAAGCCTCGAAAGCGCCTTTGATAGGTTTAGTGAACTCTTTCAGAACACTTGAAAGACATACATAGCTAATTACACATTTCATAGAGCATTTTCTCCTAAAGTATTTATATATATATATACTAATACACATTGAAGTGCAGAGACAGATTGAGCAATCATGTTGTCGCATTTTACATCCCCACTCTTTGGACTTCTTATCTGATGAGGCCTCTCACCGTTATGACTGTGAATGTTTCTAACGGACATTGAGAGATACGATTACATTCACGATACGTGACCACTCTAGTGATAAACACGGTAACAAATTATCGTTCATAATTTACAATCATATCATTTACAAGGTGTACAATTTATTTGATGAAATTTATTTCCTTTTTTTATATACATATACATATTGAATACTTAATTAAGAAAACAAAAATATACATAAATAAAGAAATATACGTTTGGAAATTATAGTACTGAGCTACTGCTATACAATGTTCAGATTTGAAAATAATTTTTGTTGCATATTCAAAATTTTTCGATAGAGCACTCTTGGTTGATGGATCGTTAAAATTTTTTGTTGCGATATGAAAGAGATCGAGTGCACTCTTCATAAATTTTGATCGTTGAACAATCGTCGTTTATATTTTATCTATGATTTTATAATATTTAAAAAGTAGAGTGTGTTATACATATATTAATGCTTATATGTTATATGTTAATCGCCAATGATTACAAAAAATGAAGTAAATAAGTATTTTAGAGTATTTGAGATTGTTTTGAGATATTTCTACTTCATATTGACACAATATAAATGATAAAATATATTTAAAAACAATTTTTTGTTGTTAATGTGTATGTATATTAATATATACATATTAACATTAATATTACAAATATATATTGTATTATATATAACATGTAATATATTATATTAATATTATATATAACTAATACTGTTTATAAATATTAATATAATATATACATAATATATTAATATAGTATAATATATATATTTTAAATAGTATTCATCGCAGAAAATTATATATGGTTTCCATTTTGCATTTTGTCGCAAATAATACATAAAGTAATGCGTCATTGAAAAGAGATGAAGAAGAAATAGTGGAGAATTTAAAAAAATATTCCTTATAAGTGACCTTATAAGTGACATATAAAATAAAAGTATATCAATATCAATAAAATGTTCAATTTTTGTGTATTGGCGATGGACAGTGAAAGCACTAAATGATTTATTATACTTATTTCTATGAATGTGAATAATGTGAAATTATTTCAACATCTAACTATTATGACAATGAAACAGTACTTTTTAAATGCGAGGTTTAAATGTCTTTTTTCTTTGCTTTAGTGGAAACTGTATCAGATGTATCAGAAATAAATACATCATCGTCCTCTTTTACGTTTCCCCCAGTCCATAAACCGCAATAAATTCCGAAATGTTGATATATTTCTTCGACTAGACTGTTGAATCGAGAGAATAAAACAGATGTTTAAATGATTTAGAGACAAAGTAATATGTAATGAAGAGACTCAATAAGTAGAGAATTATTTAAAAAATAATATAGCAAAAAAAAGTTAAATAAATTGAATGTTTTGCATTTTAAAATACAGAGTTTCAAATTCTATTGTTAAATAGTACAGTACAGTTTTGTACAGTTTTATAAAAATATGTTTAGATTGAAAATTAATTCGTCAAAATATAAAGTCAGAAATTTTTTAATTTAGTATCTTTTTTACATTATTGGTTAAATTTTTTATAGTTATCGCAAGTACTTAAAGCTTATATTTTGAACTCTTTAGTTACAGATTTGATAATAAACACAAGTAAAATGATTTTGTTAACAAAGATACAGTTAATTATATAAGTGCATACAAATACCTCGAAACCGGTTTGATATTTTTAAGAATTACATTTTCGCCGATTTTTATCCAGTCCCAGTTTTTTTCTTCAAAAGGATCGATTGATTCGTCAGTATTAACGATAATATTTGGCGACGCACTCGTTTTTGTGCCATATAGCTTTAGAAATGTTCTTGATGTCATCAATACAAAACGTGGTAAAGTTATAAGTCTTCCCTAAAAAAGTTGCGAATTATTTAGTTTTTTTTTATTTTAATATATATTTAAACAATATGTTGCTGCAAATATACTTACAACCTTAATATCAATTATACTTTTTAATGCTAAAAGAGCAACATTTATATCAAAGACTTATTTATATTGCTCGTATTTATTTTAGTTTATATGTCATATTTGTGTTATGGATGTGGGGATAAATTGGACAAAATGTTAATAAATCTGCCTTGTTTTTCAAAGATATTGACAGCAAGAAATAAAATAAATAATAATTTTAACAAAAGTTTAATGAAATTTTAACAATTACAGCATAACACATATTGTTAACTTTAAGGTGATTCGAGCGTGACAATATTAGCCAAAAGTAGTGCTTTTGCGAGGAGGGATAGAGATTAAGAAATTCTTATTTACACACGAAACTTTTAGCTATGATTGTCCGAAATGCTACATTTTGATATATGTATTAAATTATACACTATGCATTGTCATAGATGTAACAAAAATGTATTGATGTATTTATGAATTTGTAATCTGTAAGGTGAAGTATTGTGATCATACATTCTATTTGTAATTGTAATTTTTTTATGTTATTAAGTATAAAATATGTCGACGAAAGTGAGACATAACGGAAAACGGATTGCAAAAGTGTGCATTTATATTAATTTAATACGCCATAATAATACATAATGTATAATAATACATAGTGTTGGCATATTATTATGTCAGTGTTTTATCACCAATTGGTGTAATAAAAATCTTCAAATTTCAAAGTTTAATTTCCCAATAATTAACAAGTGAACTATTGTAATTTTTTTTTCTAAAAGTCTTATTATGATTTTTCTAAAAGCTTTATTATGAATCATAAATTTATTATTAACTAATTTTTATCAAAAATGTAAAATAATTTTTTTTTTATTGCAGCATAAAATTAATTGTAACATTGACTTTTGCTATAAGACTTCGTGTAAAAGTTTTTGTGTTTGAAGTTAAATATTTTAATAACTGATAAATACATATTGTATTGAAATTGTGAAATTATATTTATGAAACCTTTAAGTATAAATAGTATAAATTTGAATAATTTCTTATGAAAATTAATTAACGCGAACTATCCTAACTTTTATGTTTAGAAAATTTTATTTTTTTCTTTTTACTTTAGTCTTTGTTTTCAGCGATTTGTGTAACAATTTATTCACGCTTGTAAAACCTGATAGAAATTGATAATTTGATTTGTTCAATAATTATTTTTAATTGAATATATTAATTACCGTTTGATCATTTTCAATATTTTCGTATCCTTGAACAAAGAGGGACCAATTGTCTTTTATTCTTTTTGTAGAGTCCCAATTACTTGGAATCATTTGTGCCAAAATTATATCCTGCTTAGTCTCATTAATATCGTCAGCATATATTAATCTACACTTTAATTTGTTAGTATTTATATACAGAAATTGTAAACGTAAATAGATAATACTTACTCTTTTAGCAATTGATTAACTTCATTATGTAAATCGTAATGTGTCTCTAAAGTCCCATTCCATGTTTCTTTTGTGAAACTATAAGAAGGATTGCGATATGGGTTCATATCGAAATTTATTGCACCGATATCCACATGCGCGTTGCTCAAAATTGCTTTGTTAATGTTTGTTTCTTCCACTTCTATTGATTTCAACAGAAAATATTTTCGACTATCTTCGAATTTGTCTTTTGTTTTGTTGTACACTATAAACATTCTAATAACGCGCAATAAATATTATTTATTTTATTTTAGATTTTGAATTTTGTTAAAATAGTAAGACAGGATTTCGTATTTACCCGTCCCAAAAATGTGATCCGCCATCTGTTGTATACATTCCATAATCACGAAAGTCAAATGAACTATAACGTTCTGGTTCTGTACTTGATTTCAGTGGATATATCATTAAAGCAACTGCCTTGCCAATTTTCTTCCATTTCAGATTAGATAGATTGTGTTCAACATCATCATCAATTTGCGACATCATTGATTTTTCTTATGTTTTTGAGGATTTTTTACGTTTTCGTCGGAGATACGATTGTCTGTTCCCTTAGAAGTAAAAGCGTAGTTTGTGTAACAAATGTATTCACGCTTGTAAAACCTGATAGAAATTGATGATCTGATTTCTTCAATAATTTTTCGTCAATTATTATATAGCGTTGCATGCTGTCATGAAGAACATCGTAATTGCGGCACTACCTATCATTTTTACAATCTCATTTTCCTGAAATCACATAGATTTGTATATTTAATTGACATTTTAAAATTTTATTTTGTTATTTTGAAATCTTATTTGTATGTTATTTATTTTTTTATTTTTATATTGTAAATACTTTAGTCAATATATACCATTTTGTCGCATTTGTGCAATTAACAATCAATTTTATCCGCTTTACTTCTGCACTTCGTCTTGCGTTGTTGGAATTTTTGCGTATGGTATTTCGTACCTATATGATAATTATTTTGTTCGTGGACCCTATAAATCTTGTCTTGTCTGATGATGATTATACACTGTTCTGGATTCGCGACGCAATCGTGAACTGATACAGTTTGCGCTCACCGTTTGTCCTGACATTATTATGTTTCGTATAAAATATTTATATTTTTATTTCTTCAATAGCTTGTTTTCTATATTGTATATGAAAGGAGAGAGAATGTGTGGCAGTTATACTTTTAAGCTAATGTCTTTGTTTGTTAAATTCGTTTATTAATTATTGGTATATTTTAAAGAAGGAAAGTTTGATTTGGGTATTTAACTTTTAAATTTTTTAAGATAGAATTTGGCATTTTTTCAAAGAATATTGGTCTGTTGGTATCATATTTTAAAATACTTTTGTGTCAGTGATGTTTCCTACCAGGCTCCCGGCTTCCGAGCCCCACACAAGCGAGAAGCGCGCACATGTGCTGCGCAGAACGCTTTGCGCCAGCACATGTGCGCGCTTCTCGCTTGTGTAGGACTCGAAAGCCGGGAGCTCGGTAGGAAATATCGCATTCTTGTTTTGTGTTAATTAAAAAATTATAATTAAAAGGAGATATATATGTTCTTTTGCAGATATAGTTAAGAAAGACAAGGTGGCAATTCAATTGTAAGCTTTGAAGGAAGTTGCATTTGAACAAGTAGCTATAAATTTTAATATACGTGGTTCATATTTAAAAAATTTTTATTTTGTTGAATTGCAATGTAAAGTGTTACATAATATTTTTCGATTTTTATATAATCTCTCATTTAATTTTATATAATATAATCGGTTTATTATATGAAATTAAACATATCGATGTATAATTAATGATCAATTTTGTCTGCTTTACTTTTGCACTTTGTTCTTGCGTCGTTGGAATTGTTGCATATAGTATTACAATATTTATTTTCTCTTTGTGCGTGTGATATGTATCTTGCCTGATTATGACACGCAACAATTCAGCTCCACGCACAAATATCGACAGTATATTTAACATGTTAATAAATGTGAATAAATATCAACATTACAGTATTATGTTTATGCTTTATTCCTAATAAAGGTTTTAGTACAATTATTACAAGGTATATATTATACGTAAATATATATATTACAATATATATTTTTTTATTACTATAAAAATTATACTCATGTATGAATATAAAAGTTTGAGAGAGAAAAAGCTTATACTAATTAAAAAAATTTGCTCGGTTTAAAGTCAAAATAATCAAAAGAAGTATATTTATAATATATAAAATTGCTCAGATAATTGTTAGGTAGCGCAATATTATTTATTCGAAGTTCGTTTAAAGATATAATTTAACGCTCACATACACGCATTACATTATTACATTTATGTAATAATCTTTTACAATTTATATTAACAAGCTGGTGCCAATTTGAGCAATTGATATTGTCAAAAAAAGACTGATCTTTTTTATCTTCCAAAGAAAGAATAAACAATTAATTATTCTTATCACCGTGCATTGCACTATTTGTCATAGGCAGAAAATAATTGACTTAAAGCGGGAAGATAGTAATCAGGACAAGTATCTTCCTCTTCTTGCGTCTTTTCTAGAGTGTCACTCCCAGTTCCAACGAAAAGCTTTATAAATCCACACATTGATGCAAATTTCATATCTTGATCAGCCCTGTGAGAACATTTTGGACGAAATATTGGACGAAAAATTTGGACGAATAATATGATCTTAGAATGAAACAATTGTAAGAATGTAACACAAATATGTATATTTAGCATGTATTTTAAATAAAAACTTGTGTATTTCTGAAAGAAAAATATTTTATTATAATGTTTACTTACGTGTCACCGATGAACAAACATCTTTGTGGATTGGTCACTTTGCACGTGTCCAAAATGAAATCTTTTAATGCTTGGCTGGGCTTACCACATAAAATTGGATTTCTTTGACTTTGTGTACTGATAAGATTTATCAAAGGTCCAGGACCTGAAGATAACAAATATGATATCACTGTTGTTAATTTTGCAAGTGTTTCATATAACTTTTCTTACAATTCTTTTCCATACCAAATGAATAAGACATGTTTTCACATAATGTCAAGTAATTAAGTAATTATGTCAAGTAATTTTTTTTTTTTGTAGATAAAAGAAATTTTTTTTTAACATTGAGGCATACTCGTTTCTATTAATATCTACAATTATAGATCAATATAAGTACTTTTCTATTATTAATCAGAAGTATTTTTTTAAATTTGACTAATAATATAATAATATTAATACACATTTACCTAAAATTTTAATTTGCTGTATTGTTTGTATATTAAACCATTCCTCCATTGCTCCAGTTATATATAACACATCTTTACGTTTAAGGCACGATATGGCCAAAGCTAACTTTGACCAATTGAAATTAACATCAAAGTCAACAATTACAGCTTTAACAGATGGTCTATCTAAGACTTCTTTTATATTTGCAGCTATATCTGTGAGAGAAGTTTTTGGCTGCAAAATGAATATTTGATTTAATCTCTCTCTTTCTCTCAATTGTTTTTTATTTGAGATTTTAGAAAAGTTTGAAAATTATTCTACTTTTTTACTTACTTCCTCTACTAGTCGTATCCCTGCTTTTTCTAGTATATTACGAGACAACTCTGAAACGATGGCGAAAGCTTCGTCACGAAAATCGATTTTTTTCAAATACCAGACGATCACTCTGGTACTGTTAATTACGTGGTCCTGTAAGCACAATTGTCTGTATTATTTGTTGGTATTTTTAATACATAGTTTATATATATAGGTTATATTATCGCGTTTTATGTTGTATATTAATAGAAAAGAATCTCTCTCTCTCTCTCTCTCTCTCTTTCTTACCGGAGTCACATTCAAAGAGGCACATTGAGCAGTTTTACAAAAATTTTCCATCATATTCGTGCTGTTATTTGTCACTAAATACACTTGCTTCCCCAAATTTTGCAACGCCGCTAAAGCCTCGAAAGCGCCTTCGATAGGTTTAATGGAGTCTCTCAGAACTCCTGAAAGACATACATAGCTAATTACACATTTCTTAGAGCATTTTCTTTTGAAGTATTTATATATATATATAAAACAATTTGATAATGCATATTTTTACGATTTGTGCTATATATGAAAATATTAGAATGTATTATAAAATCTTTTGATTTTTAATTCTTTAATTTAGAATTTCGGAAATGTCACTCAAAATACATACTAGTGTAAAGTCGTATTTTACTAAAATTCTTAATGTTTTACAATTTATTTTGCACTATATTATCTCCAAAAATGTTTAATAAATAAATTTTACGATATTTTTGCAATTTACATGAGACATGATTTATATTAAACATAGAGAAAAATGCGTCACTGTGTTGATTATCACTTACCATCGATATCGGACATTATTATATCGAAAGATGTTAAAAACTCCTGCAGTTGTACAGCCGAAAATTTGGTGAGGTCTTTAGTCTTCGACATGATAGATGCGAGCACGTTTGATTCTCTGGCGCGATTTTTTCTCGAAGGTTTCAACTGGTGAGGTTTCAACTTATTCTATTATGCGATGCAAGATTTCTGGCGACAGTCAATTTCCGAAGCTACTTTTAAGAACCGTTGTGTGGCCGGCTATATATGTGTTATCTAATTAATGCATCAAACTACAAGCAGCATAAATAAGACCGATTGAGTATTCACTTTTCGATAACATCACTTTTGACTACATGCGCCCGCGAGAACATTTGTAAGAAAAATGATTTCGTGTTTTTCACACTCACGACCCGTATGCGACGATGTAAATACATTCCGAATATCATCTCGACGTGAGCTAGTCGAGATACTAGTTGCGCATGTCCCAGGAACGGATAGACATTGTGAGCAAATGACATGAAAGATTTATCATGCAATGATATCTTGCACAACGGTGTAAATCTTAATGTTTGCAATGTATTTTTTTATAACGCAACATAATAAAACGGATGATCAAACAGTGACAATGATAAGAAGTGAGAATGATAAGAAGATTAATTGAAAAACTGTTTTTCAACTGAAAACGAGAATAACGATTTTTATTTTTTTAATACTAAATTTAAATCAATGATTATTTTTTCATTAATTGGTGACGATCACGACATTTTTTTTAAGATGCTAAAATATTGCAAATAAAAAATTTGTATTTTTTTTTTTTAATTATTTTACAGCATTAAACTCGCAATTTAAGATTGCTCTGCAAGAGAAATTATGATAAAGCTACTTTTAGTCAAAAATATGTTTTTCAGTCGAAGAGATATGTGCGATATAAGAAGATACGGAACAGACTAAGAGACTTGAGACTTTAAATTGAGACTTTAAAGCCTTGCTGGCGATATAATGTGATTGTCGACAAGGTCACGGCAGCCGACTCTATGATACTCATAATCACAGAAATCTTTGCGTTATAATAGTAAATTGTAACTGTAAAAATTGCATTATTGTTTGAATCTAATAAAATAAAATTTTTGTTATATTCAAATTGTTTATAATTAAAGAATTTAATTTTAAATTAAAGAGCAATAGTTAATGGTGATAGTTTAATATAATAGTATAATTTATCTGTTTCTATTATTTATTTTATCTAATTTATTTACAATCACATTTAAAAATTTTTAAAATAAATTTCTCTATGTTTCGTGAAGTGTAATATTATATTTATCTATGAAAAAAGCCTATTCTTTGCATTTATTTCAACGTCATATCGTCAAGATAAAACACATCTTTGCAAATATGACATAACCGCAGTTTTTTATTGAATATTATTTTCTTTTATTTTTATTTACAAGTAGCACAATTACATTTTTATTGCAATTGTCTATGCCAACCATCAACAATCATAGATCGTTCCGATCAATGATTGCATGAAAATGGCAATGACATGTTTTCAATATACACACATAGAATAGAATAATATATTAGCAATATTAATAGCATTGTTATTCTTTATTTTATATTTTATCTCTTCGAAAACAATTGAAGAGCTTGACGCAACAAAATTCTTCAATCTTAAAACTAATTTCACAGTTGTTAAAAAGAAATTTGAAATTGCAAGTTATGCAAATAAGCAAATTTTCTAATATTATGTATTAATAAACTGTAACGTAACACCACAAAATTATGATAACAATATTTAATACATTACAATGCTTAAAGATATTAAGCAGATGTTTTAAGTAATACGAATAATTAACAATGTTTGATTATTACATTCACGTTTTATTTTTAATAAATGATACAACACAATCGTCATAGTAAGAATCATGCCTATATAAAACTCATTTAAATGCTTAAATTTGTTAAAAAAATTTCTCAATTATTTCTGTATTTCTTAATTTATCATTTAAGTGAAAATGGTTAAAATATATGTACAATGTTGTATAAAATTTATCACATTGCTGAACATCGCAATATTATTCAAATACACACACACACACACATATATATATATATGTATCATTTCGTACGTAGGATTATAAGAAAATATATATGCTTCCTTATAAATAATCAAACGTTAATTTGAGGAATTAATGTTATCAGTAATTGTTTATTCTCCTACTAAGGAATAAATGATTAACTATTCTTATCATCGACTGTGTATTAACACTGTGGACTTGTATAGGCAGAAAATAATTGGCCCAAAGTGGGAAGATAATAATCAGGGCAGGTATCCTCTTCCTTTTGCGTCTCTTCCAGAGTGTTGCATCCCGAGCCGATGAAAAGCTTCATAAATCCGCACATTGAGGCAAACTTCATATCTTGATCAGCCCTGCGTTTATGTTTTTGAATCAATAAAATTATTTTTCACAATAGACAGAATAAGACACTCGTATAAATAAAACATAATCGTTTGAATGCACTGCATGTATATTTTTCAGCATAAATTTTAGATAAGAAATATGCATGTAATGAAGAATATTTTATTATAATTTTTACTAACGTGTCACCAATAAACAAACATCTGCGTGGGTCGGTCACGTTGCACGTATCTACAATGTAATCTCTTAAAATTTCACTAGGTTTCCCATATAAAATTGGCTTCCTTCCGCTTTGTGCACTAATAACATTTATTAATGGTCCACCACCTGATAATGAGAAAATATGATTATATTCTTTTTATAAATTAGAAAAACAGTTTTTCAACTTTTTCTTACGTCAAATAAACAAGTCATAGAATAAAAGAAATTTATATGTAAATAATATTACGTTATTACACATTCCAAGAAAAAATGGTATAATATGGTCAGATATAAATATATATAATTAGTTATGAAAAGATCTGATGACATGTAATATTTTATATGATCATATAAAATTACATATGTTATTAGATCTTTTCATAACTAATTATATATATTTATATCTGACCAATTATACCATTTTTTCTCGGGATACTAATTATTTTTATACATATATAAAAAAATAATAGTTTTTTTATACTGGGTGCTCTTAAACATGTGCAAAAAAATACGAGAAGTGATTTCTTGGGTAATTTCTGGAAGAAAAGTTCATATTCACCAATATCCTAAACGGTATAGTTTTCGAGAAATGTTCAAGGTTAAAAATAAGATTTAAAAAAATATATTTTAACAAATACGGAATTAAATAATATTATAGGACTTGTTGGAAATAACCACCTCTAGGCATGATACATGAATCTATTTTTCTTATTGATTGACAACGTTCAAATATAGAAGGTGTATTACAGATTGTTTTGCATGATGCAATTATGTGATTCCTTAAATCTTCAATATTTTCAATCGGGATGGTATAATAACTAAAAATTTAAGGTGATCTCTTAGAAAAAAATGCAAAAAATGAAACTCTATTCAAGGAATTACTTCCCGAATTTTTTTGTACATGTTTAGGAGCACTTTATATAGTAAAGCATATCCGTAAATATTAATATAAATATATAAATAGTAGTAGAAATATTTACATATTATTAACAGAAAGCAGTTTTTTATTTAATTATGTTTATATACGTTTACCTAAAATGTTAATTTTATGTGGTGATGTTTGTACATTAAACCATTCGTCCGTTACACCAGCTATATACAACACATCTTTACGTTTAAGGCACGATATGGCCAAAGCTAGCTTTGACCAATTGATATGTAGATCGAAATCAACAATTACAGCTTTAACAGATGGTCTATCCAAAACTTCTTTAACGCTTGCTTTTGCATTAGTTTCATATGCTTTTGGCTGCAAAATTAATACTTAACTTAATCTTTTTCTTCTTTTCTTTTGCTTTTTATTTAAGATTTTAGAAAAGTCTAAAGATTATTTAATTTTTTTACTTACTTCCTCTACTAATCGTATCCCTGCTTCTTTTAATATATTACGAGACAACTCTGAAACAATGGCGAAAACTTCGTCACGAAAATCGATTTTTTTCAAGTACCAGACGATCACTTTGATAGTGTTAATTATGCGGTCCTGTAAGCGCAATTGTCTCTATTATTTGTTGATATTTTGTAAATTTTTTTAGATATTGTATAAATTGGATCGGTTTATTGTATATTATTTAATAAAAAAGTAAAAAAGTAGAAAAATGATCACGATATAAAGCAATTAATTATAATACTAGAACTTACCGAACTCAGATTTAAAGAAGCACGTCGAGCATTCTCAAAAATATCGTCCATTGCATTTGTGCTATTATTCGTTACTAGATACACTTGTTTTCCCATTTTTTGCATTGCTGCTAAAGACTCCATAGCACCCTCGATAGGATCTTTATTGATTTGTCTCACGACTCCTGAAGAATACACATGCACACCACACATATATGTAACAGTTTCATCGCTTGCTGTATATTTTTATATTTGTGCTATTTATTAAAAAATATTAAAAGCACGTAATATTTATAAAATATTTTTATTAGAATTTTGAAAATCTTATTAGAAATGCATCAGTTTATATAATTACATTTTATACCAAAATTCTTAATATTTAACAACTAGTCTTACATGATCTCCGAAATCAATGTTTCATTAATGAATTCTAAGGTATTTTGATTATTTTGTTCACATGAGACATGTGGTAAACATTAAATACATGTTATAAAAATAGATTATAGTATTTTGTTATCGTCACCGTCGATATCGGACATCACTATGTCGAAAGACATTAAAAACTCCTGTAGTTGTGTAGCCGAGAACTTGGTAAGATCCTTAATCTTCGACATGTTAGATAATTGTTATTCTGCGAGTTTGTTTGATTCGCGATTTATTTCCAAAGCTTTAACTGAGAGACTCTATTCCTTCAGCTGTGTGAAACTTTTTGAAACAGTCGAACTTCCGACGACTGCTTTTAAGACCTACTTTACTGGTCTACTGTATGTGTGTAAGTGTGCAAGTGCGCAAGTGTGTGTATGAGTCTGCGCACTATCCAATTGATTCATAATTGCAAATAAGTGTTGCATGGATAAGGCTGATTAAGTATTCAATTGTCGATGCCATTACTGATGACCAAATATGACCGCAAATATTTGCAAAAAAGGCGATTTTTTTATTTATATTCGCAACCTACGTATATACAGAGTGATTCAAAACAACCTGATTTCTTTAAATGTCATATTTTTGAGCAATTACTAAGACAATTTTTTCATTTTGCAAAATTTTGTCTGAAGCTTAGTTTTTAAATTATAATTGATAATAATTCCTTACTCACATACCAATCTGGACAGGCAAAGACACGCAACGCATCATGAGACTATTAAGTGTTACGTTCGTCTTACGATGCGTTGTACTGTTCCTGTGTGAGTAGCGCGAACTTTTTGCAATTATAATTTAAAAGCATCGGACAAAATTTTGCGACAAAAATCATCTCAGAAATCGCTCGAAGATATATCATTTTTAGAACAGTCAAGTTGTTTTAAATCATTCTGTATATTTTGTGTTTTCGGCGTTAACTATAAGTTTACCATGTACCAAGAATAGATAATCTGCAGATAATGTGAACGCGTAAAGAGTTTTATGAGGTGAAGTTATATAAATAAAAATTCTAATAGCTTTAGAAAGATGTAAATACATAAATATTTGATGATAATGTATTGGCATCATATTTATATTCTCATAATAAAAGAGTAACAGTGTTAGAAATAAAAATATAAATATTAAAAAATATTAATATATATTGACAAAATTTTAAGAATATATGAATTTTATTTATTAAAAAATTTAAAAATATGGTAGAAAAAAGACATTTAAGAATTTAAATTTATAAAATTGGAAGTGTTTAGAATTATAAAAAGAGTTGTAGGTATACGTAAAGAGATTGCATTAATACAATAAGATTTAGATTATCATAAAGCATTATTATTCTACTGCTTTTATTCAATATGGATTAATTTTCATCAAATTAATTTAATTTTATATTCCTATATAAAATCGAGAATCGTGAATCGAGCATAGTTTATCTCTTACAGAATGACTGAGAATAAAATCGAATCGAGTCAAATTCTTAGATCCTTAAAAGACATAAGATCGAATTCTTCCTCTGGATTTAAGGTCGCATCTATCCTATTGCTCATAAACATACTCTTACGTTAACATTTTTTTTTAATCGTCAGATACATGTGCTACGATGATTGTATATGCTCTCCGTGGCCTCATATCATTCGTGGATTTGAAATTTCTTTGAATTTGCAGAAATTTTATGGCTACATGCAGCCATTATTTCTGCAGTAATCTATTTGTTGTATAATGACTTCTCGATGGATCATAATGCACAGTGTTTATTGTGTTGTACACTTTGTTACAATTTGGGTAATTATGTGAAAATATGTTGTACATAGCGACTTTAAACACTGCATTATTTATGCAATGATAGCTTCAATACGTAATACAAGTTAACCATGAAAATGTGAATTGCAAAATCCATGATAACTTTTATGAGCACGATAATAGATTCATAAGTAACGTTTTTAAATTCTTTTCGTGAAAGTTGTTTTAAGTAAGCGGTATTACAATTATTTTGTTTGCGGAATGATATTTTCCAGGAAACTTTTCAATTGCAAATAACAATAAGTTATTCATAAAATTATTCATTTTTAAAATGTATATTACATAACGACGTTCATGCTTTATGAAATTTGCAAGAAAAATAACCTCAACGCTCTGATACGTTATATTCATTCTAATATATATCATATATTCTTATATTTATTCGAATTTTTTGCCATTTTATTGTACATTGTAAACATTCTAATAACGCGCAATAAATATTATTCATTATTTTCTATTAATAACGTAATTAATTATGTATAATTACATAATTAATTATGTATAAAAATTTTCTTTTTGTATATCTAAATGAGAATATAGTGAAATAAATCTCAATAATACTTTGTTATTTTATCTTTCTTGGTTTATATATTCCGAATTTTATCATTTAAACATTTTGTTAAAATAGGAAGACAGGATTTTGTATTTATCCGTCCCACAAGTTGCCATCTGTTGTAGATTCCGTAGTCACGAAATTTGAATGAGCTAGAACGGACTGGTACTTTGCTTGACTTCACGGAATATATCATTAAAGCATTAATCTTACCAATTTTGTTCCATTAAAACCGTATTTTTTTACACTTTTCATTCTCGGGATCATCAAGATTTTTTTTCATACGATACGTTGAAGAATGATGAAAAATGCAAATATATGAAACGTGCTTAAAGCAACCATGCCACATACAAAGATTTACTATTTATTTTTTAATTTCATCACACAAAGTATAAAATTTTTTTTATACATTCAAAACATAATAAAAGAAAAATTGTTAATCAACACTTTTTATTTAAAGAAAACTTGCTAAAATATATTTTCTTTCGCGAAAATCAACTTTTCCCTTAAAGTCATATTGAAATAAATTACTGATTGTAGCAACATACAGATGAGCGCTATCAAATTGTATAGAATATATATTGGTTTTTTCATGCCTATTCTTATACTTCTAAAAATTTTTAAAATAGTTAATAATAGGTCACTATTAAAGATACATACACAAGATACATATACAAGATACATAAAATTTGAAAGTGATACAAACTTGAATGTAAGTATTTTGTCTCTGATCCCATAGAAGAACTTTATCATTAATCGTCCCCGTCATAATAGTGTATAAATTATCTGTTGTAAAACATGTTAATATTTTATTTTCGGATGAATAATTCCATGTACGTACAAATTCGGATGTTCTGAAATTACAGTAGTGAATTTAACTAATTGAATGGCCAATTAATATTAACACAATATGATTTATTACCTTATATCCATTTTTTTAATATAAGAATCATAACACATGAGAATAGTGTGAGGATCCTCCCATAGTAGTTGGAAAGCACCAGGTTTATAACAATAATTTGAACAATCTTCTGTTTTATCTATTACGGAATGACTAAAATTCCTTTAGATTAGTGTTTGTTGCATATTGTTTCAAATATACGAGTACATATAAAAATCTAAAAGACTAAAGACATGAGACCAAACTCCTGTCTTTTGCTTCTTTGAGCTGCATAACATACTGAAATGAGTCTTTCCTATAAGAACTAATGTGTAATTTGTAGCCAAAAGATTGCAACAGTAGACGGAGATATCTGTCTTTTTTTCACATTTATTACCAATATGATGGAGGATATTAAAACCAAAACAGACATGAGACACATTTCTCCATCTAATATCGTTTTCGAATGAACAAAATTTGATCGACCCAAGGTTGATTAATGACGTCATTGCACCACCGTCTGCATCAATAAAAGACTTGAATTCAAAGTAAAATAGTAATTAATCAAACTTGAGTCGATCAAAATCCATTAAATCGTAAACATTATAATGTATCTCTCCTTTTTCCACAATGACCACCACGGCTCTTTTTGGCACACCAGAGGCTGCGTTCCGAAATTCACTACCAATGTTGGAAATCTATAATTTTCGTTACGTATATTGTAGATTTTTAATACTGGCAATGAATTTCGGAACGCAGCCATAATGTTATATAGTTCACTAATGCCCATTTTCACCAATGTTGATTAATTTTTATCTTGGTTCAACTTACTCTTTATCTTTTTCTAGTTCTAAGAATTAGAAAAAGATGAAGAATAAGTTGAACCAAAATTAAATATAATCTACGTTGGTGGAACCGAGCATAAGTTATAATTATGAACTATAGTCACTAAATCGGATCATGTAATGATGTATATGATCATATAGGGATGTATGTATATGTATATAGTGTCTATATTAACATAGGTATTCATAGTCCGTTTTTATATTTAAGATTGTCTTAAGTATTGTCTTAAAATTCTATGAAACAATTCAAAAACCATATTAGTATTTTAAGACGACGATAACGATGATTTAAGACGATCTTAAATATAAGAAATGACTATGAATATTGGCCATAATCAATGTTTAATCGAACACTTGTAGAAAACGATTAATTAATTAAAACATAACTTACCTGTCATCTATATCATAAATTAGAAGCGACGATAAGTATTCAGGATTTTTTGTATAAATACTAACAGCAAATTTTGTTCCAGTTGGATCAAATAACATTGATTGCACCTCGCATTCATTATTGTAAAATATTTGGTTTTTTTCCTCCAAAAATGAATACTCTTCATACGAATTTTCATGTGTATATTTTTGTATCTGAACAAAACCAGACTTTTTACTTGCTATATTAACATAATATAATTGCAAATTTTTTAAATCTCACCTTTATTGAATTTGAAGAACCTGATATAATATGTTGCGATGTTGCATCTATGTGTCTAATGTCATCGTGTACATTGTAATGTGTTATTAATTGTTTAATATAATTTTTTTCACCTAGTGATTCAATTTTCCAGTGCCTGATACTACCATCTCTGTAAAAATTTTTGTCAAAATAAAAAAAAGAAATAAATATAAGACAATGTCATAAATATAAATACTCACTTGTGGCCACTTATAATTTCGTCATTGCAATAAGCAAAATCTCCAAATGGAGAACTGCTATATACTCTAGTCATTTTACCCATTTTAATGGTACCGTCATTTGCGCGGTTATAAGCAAGAAGACTATGCTTATTACAAAGCAAAACTGCATTTTTAGTCATTTGTAGGCGTTTTCCAGTGTCTACAAATGAGTTTTTGGGATTGAATTTATCTATTCCACTTATTGTACATATTTTATTTATCCAGCAGTAATGCGTAATAAATTGAGAAATACAAAATAATTGTGGTTTACACCTATAAAAGAAAATAAGATATATAAAATAATTATAGAATATATAGAATAATATTTTATATACAGTGTGACTCAAAACAATCTGATGTTCTTGCAATGCCGTATTCTTGAGCGAATTCTAAGACTTTTTTTTTCGCAAAATTTCGTCCGAAGTTTAGTTTTCGAGTTATAATTGAAAATAGTTAGCCACTTCGACTACGAGTCCGATACATCGGACAGGTAGAGATGGCGCAACGCGTTAATAGACTATACAACCCTCCTAAACAGAGACTAATAACTCTCCTAAACAGTCAATATTATTGTACAATGTTTGATATTGCACAATATTATTGAACGTTTGAAGTTTATATTATTAGTGCATTGTCTATACAATATTGTACAATTATTATTGACCGTCTAGGAGGGCTATAACGCAACGTTTGAAAGTGAGATATTCGATAACGCGAGTTTTACATAATTAAGAAATAAACTAAAAATACAAAGCCGAAGTAGTGCTTATGGTGTGATTAAATATTAGTCTCATGACGCGTTGCGCTGTTTCTGTTTGCTCGTTGTATCGGGCTCGTAAGTGGCTAACTATTTTCAATTACAGCTCGATAACCAATCTTTGGAAAACATTTTGCAAAACGAAAAATTGTCTTAGAATTCGACCAAGTATATGGCATTGTAAAAATATCAGGTTGTTTTGAATCACCCTGTATATACATATATACATAGAAAATTATATTATATCGTTGAGCTCTATAACATACTGGAGAGAGCCTTCCCATAAGAGTGAATGTGTAGTTTTCGGATCAAGGAGGGCAATAATAGCCGGGGGATGTCTGTACTTCTTTCACATTTACACCATGTATTGGTGGGGATGAGACAGATACTCTCGGCAATATTAAACTCTCTCTTTCTACAGTGTCCATCCCCACTTTTTCAAAACTTACTCCAGTACAGTTATAGAGTTTTAACACTTACCAAATTACATGTTTTAACACCTACCAAACCGATTTTTGATAAATTTCTGTTCTGCATCAATCGGGTAATTTTTCTTTTGGAGCGTAAACGTGAAAAGTGAAAACTTTCACGTTTCTTAGAGATCACATATCTTGACCACGTGAATTGTACAAGCTACGTGTCGAGAACTTTGATTATTTTTCGTAAACAAAAAAATCGGTTTAGCAGAAAACGCGTTAAAAAGAAAATTGTAGAATAAATTGAAATTTAAATAAACATTAATTGTAATCTTTATTTAACTTACCGTTCACGAAATTTTTCTGACACCTGATTTGTAACAAGCAAATGTTGAGTTTTTTTATTTAATATCATATATGATATTTCATAAAATTTTCTGCATACCACACTAATCTCTGATAAAGTATACACGTCACATAAATTGAAAATTTTATTCAGTAGCTCATTCGGGAGATACAAAAATGACATATTTGTTTTTTTAAAGAACGTGACCACGTAAAAATATGGACAGTATCACCGATGTTTATCCCACTGAACACAATACTATACTAGAATTTAGGGTCGAAGTTAGAGAATTATTAGAACCAGTAATGCAACTCGAATTGGTCAGCGCCGAAAACACCGTAATGCTCTATCTACACCGAAGGATAATCCTACTTGTGGCTCATCCGACCACTTTCGCTCGTCTACACTAAGTACAATTTTAGTGTTGTTATATTGGTACCGTTGACTTTAAAACCGGTAATAATTTCAGTATCTAGCCTATAAAACAAACTTTCATCCGATCTAAGGTATCCCGAATTGTTATTCTGTTCGACAGAAGATTATTTTTTATAGAAATATTTTTGCTTTTTATATGCAAATATTCTGATGAGTGATTTGTTTTTTTGGGTTGGTATGATTGAAAACCAACTTCAGTATGATTTTCGGTTGTCTACATTACTCGCTCGGATGAGCCACAAGCAGGATTATCCTTCGGTGTAGATAGGGCATAGTGGAGGGAGCATGCACATAACCGAGAACGCGTGCATGTGGTTGCGTAGAACGCTTGGCGCAGATTTTCAAAGATATTGACAGCAAAAAATAAAATTAATACGATTTTTACAATAGTTTAATTAAATTTAGACAATTATGGCTACATAGAACGTATTGTTAACTTTAAAGTGGTTCGAGCGTAACAGTCCTTGTTAAAACTAATGCTTTTATAAGAGGATATGGGTTAAGAAATTCTCTTTTGTACACACAAAACTTGTTGCTATGATTGTTCGAAATACTACAGTCTGATATGTGTATTAAATTGTAAACTATGCATTGTTGTAAATGTAACAACAATGTGTTAATGTATTTATGAATTTATATCCTGTAAGGTTGAGTACTGAGATCATATATTCCAGCATTAGAAAGATGTAAATGCATAAATATTTGCTGATAATGTGCTGGCATCATATCCATATCTTCATAATGAAATAGTAACAGTGTTAAAGATAAATATATATATATTATAAAATATTAATATATATTGATAGAATTTTAAAAATATATGAATTTTAAACATTCTCATAACGCGCAGTAAATATTATTCATTATTTTCTATTAATCACGTAATTAATTATGTATAAGAATTTTCTTTCTGTAAATCTAAATGAGAACATAGTGAAATAAATCTCACGATAATACTTTGTTATTTTATCTTTCTTAATTTATATATTGAAATTTTTATTGTTTAAAAATTTTGTTAAAATAGGAAGACAGAATTTCGTATTTATCCGTCCCACAAGTTGCCATCTGTTGTAGATTCCGTAATCACGAAATTTGAATCAGCTAGAACGGACTGGTACTTTGCTTGACTTCACGGAATATATCATTAAAGCATTAATCTTACTAATTTTGTTCCATTAAAACCGTATTTTTTTACGCTTTTCATTCTCGGGATCATCAAGATTTTTTTTCATACGATACGTTGAGAAATGATGAAAAATGCAAATATATGAAACGTGCTTAAAGCAACCATGCCACATACAAAGATTTGCTATTTATTTTTTCACTTTATCACACAAAGTATAAAACTTTTCTTTATACATTCAAAATATATTAAAAGAAAAATTGTTAATCAACATTTTTTATTTAAAAAAATTGCTTAAAATATATTTTCTGTCGCAAAAACCAAACCTTTCCTGAAATTCATATTGACATAAATACTTGTCTGTAGCAGTATACAGATGGGAGCTATCAAATTCTATGGAAATTATACTGCGCTGTGTATGCGTTGTATACGTCTGAAAATTTTTAAAATAGTTAATAATAGGTCACTATTAAAGTACAAGATACATAAAATTTAAAAGTGATACAAACTTGAATGTAAGCATTTTGTCTCTGATCCCATAGAAGAACTTTATTATTGGTCGTCCCCGTCATAATAGTGTATAGATTATCTGTTGTAAAACATGTCAATATTTTATTTTTGGATGAACAATTCCATGTACGTACAAATTCGGATGTTCTGAAATCACAGTAGTGAATTTAACTAATTGAATGGCCAATTAATATTAACAATATGATTTATTACCTTATATCCATTTTTTTAATATAAGAATCATAACACATGAGAATAGTGTGAGGATCCTCCCATAGTAGTTGGATAGCACCAGGTTTATAACGATAATTTGAACAATCTTCTGTTTTATCTATTACGGAATCACTAAAATTTTTTAGATTAGTGTTTGTTGCATATTATTTCAAATATACGACTACATATAAAAACTTAAAAGACTAAAGACATGAGACCAAACTCTTTACTCTATCTTTTCTTAGTTCTAAGAATTAGAAAAAGATGAAGAATAAGTTGAACCAAAATTAAAATTAATCTACGTTGGTGGAACCGAGCATAAGTTATAATTATGAACTATAGTTACTAAATCGGATCATGTAATGATGTATATGATCATGTAGGTCTGTATGTATATGTATATAGTGTCCATATTAACATAGGTATTCATAGTCTGTTTTTATATTTAAGATTGTCTTAAGTATTGTCTTAAAATTTTATGAACCAATTAAAAAACCATATTAGTATCTTAAGACGACGATGACGATGATTTAAGACGATCTTATATATAAGAAATGACTATGAATATCGGCCATAGTCAATGTTTATAATCGAACACTTGTTGAAAACGATTAATTAATTAAAACATAACTTACCTGTCACCTATATCATAAATTAGAAGCGACGATAAGTGTTCAGGATTTTTTGTATAAATACTAACAGCAAATTTTGTTCCAGTTGGATCAAATAACATTGATTGCACCTCGCATTCATTATTGTAAACTATTTGCTTTTTTTCCTTTAAATACTCTTCATAATTTACATATGTATATTTTTGTATCTGAACAAAGCCAGACTTTTTACTTGCTATATTAACATAATATTATTGCAAATTTTTAAAATCTTACCTTTATTGAATTTGAAGAACCTGATATAATATGTCGCAATGTTGCATCTATGTGTCTAATGTCATCGTGTACATTGTGATGTGTTCTTAAGTGTTTAATATTCATTTTTTTCTAGTAGGTGATTCAATTAT